TTAAATTTTTGATGGCTTATGTAACTTCTTGCTTTAGCCAGATGTGGGTAAGGTTTAAAACAGATCATTTAGGTCTGAAACATGTAGCTCCTGATGTACTCAAGTCACTTGGTTTTATAGAACTCTTAATTTTTAAGGTGTTGTCTTGACTTTTGTTTATTATAATAAAATAATTTGAACCTGTACAGTATTGTGGTAGAAAGCGCTGAGATGGATGTATCCTAATTTAAAAAATTATAATGGGTTTTCACATCCCGAAATAAATCTATAACAGTTATAAAATTATCTATGCCTGTGAATACTTTGGAGGCTGAAACAGGACTGCAAATGCAGGATTGCAAAAAATTTTTATCCTTTTCCTTCACTGTTTAAAACTGAATTTCGAGAAGCAAATATGCCTGGACTCATTACAATCCAGTAGTTTAATCTGTGCCCTCTTGTTCTGTGGTAGGTTTGTTGGGGTCACTGAGAGGCAACACTCCACTTCCTTCTGAGTGCCAAAATCCTGAGCTGGGTGTTCAGAAGGAGCAGGGTAGGATGGGCACACAACCTGAACATGAAAACTCAACATTTTAATATCATTTTATTACTTCTTAACAAGAGTTTTAGTCCTAAAATCTGGTGTTTCTGTTTTCCACGTGCACCAGAAATGGAGACAGCAGTTGCCACTGCTGTGCTGCAAAGGGACCTCTGGAGGTCACCTAGTCAGACCTCCCTGCTCAAGCAGAGTCATCCTGGAGCAGGGTGCTCAGGATTGTGTCCAGGTGGCTTTTGAATATCTCCAGGGAAGGAGATTCCACAACCTCTCTGGGTAAGCACTTCCAGTGTTCAGAATTTGTGTGTGACAAATTCTGTCAGCCCACTTCCATAAATGAGTGCTGCTTCAAATGGTGCTGTGGATGAAGATCTGAATCACAGAGCAGAAAACAAGCTGAACAAATCTATAACGGAATTAGAAATTAAAAGTTTGGTGAGTTAATATTTTAGTCATTATTTTGCTTCAAACCTGAAATAGAAACTACTCTAGAGCTGATTAATTCAAAACAAAGGCCTCAATAGTGTAAAATTTATGTTTTGCTCTCAACAGATGAATATTATTAAAATATACACAACAAAAATACCTGTTTCTTGAGCCCAAAAAACCTTCCTTCAGCATATTTTTCATGTCATACTGTCAGTGAATTCTCAGCTACCAATACCTGGAGGAACAATCCCTTTTTTCCATTGTAATTAAAGTGATTTTTTTTTTTATTTTACTCGTCGTCACTGTTGTTCTAATTATCTCTTGTAGACTCTGGATTCTTATTTTCTCTTACAGCTCATATATAGCTTCATCCATAATTTCAGGTAAAGCAAGAGCAGACTAAAATCTTTTGTGAAGAGATATTCATCAGCCTCCTTGCAACCTTCTTCATCAATTACAAGCACTCCCAGCAGATGCAATATTTTATTGGCTTTTAATTGGTTCCTTGTGACAGTAGGATTTATGGGCTTTTTTACCCTGACTCCAGTTTTATTATGGAAGCTTTGTGACAGTTATGGATTCTTCAGTGATCCAAAACCTGATGGAAATGCTACTGGGCCAAAAGCAAACTAATAGAATGATAATAGAGCTGATTTAATCTGAGGAGCATTCACCTTAATGAAAACACAGAAAATCCACGTGAAAGGCCAAAGGAGGAATTACTTATGCATTCATTGAGTCAAAATTTAAAATTTTAAGAGGTTTCAGAAGGAGAGGGGACCTTAGCACAGGAATAGTAACAGGAAAACATGGGCATTAGCTGAAGTAGGTCTTCAGAGGAAGATAATATAGTAGGTCTATAGTACAAATCAGCAGGGACAAGGAACTCCAAAGGATAAAATCCCAATACACTGAGACCTGTTCATACAACAGGGAGGATTATTTTCCTGTTGTCATCATTAACTGCAATCCAGAGGGTAGATGAGCTGCCATGACAAGGGACCACGGCCAGCAGATGCTCATTAGCACAGGTTTAAGAGTCCATCCCCTTTGTTTTCCCTTGTATGAAAGGTAACATTTACTTGTGTTTTAAGGTGACTGAACACTACACAGAGTCACAGAATCATGAGGTTTGCATGGTCCCACCTCTCAAGCCTGTCCAGTTCTCTTTGGATGGCATCCCGTCCCTCCAGCGTGTCTCCCTCACCACACAGCTTGGTGTCACCAGCAAACCTGCTGAGGGTTCATGAAATACTTCTTGTCCGCTGTTTTAACAAAGGACATTCTTAGTGTAGCAGCATGTCCCACAGTCAGTACCCTGACTTGATGTGGAACAGGAGCCAGAAGCATTTATTTCCATTTCAGATTTAAAGTCCAGTCTAGGAAGGGGCAGAACAGTTCTGTGGGGTGGAACTGAGATTTCTGAACCACAAGGTTATCTCTGGGTTGGCAAACCAAGTCACAGGGGCAGACAAGCTCATTACTTCATTACTCCTGTTAGATGGAGAGTGGGGGGACTTGGTGTAACTCTGTGATTAGCCCGGGCCACACTAGCAGTTAGAAGCCGAGGAAGGGAAGATAGGAATTACAGCATCCTGATGTCTGCCCACAGGTTCACGCTCATGCCAAGATGGGCCACAAGGCATTTCCTTGTTTCCATTATGGATAAGCAGCAGTACAGAGGAGCCCCCTTGGTGCACACACTGCTCCCCAGCTCCTGTCATTGCTCATTGCTCCAGCCCCCCTGGAACACCCCTGCACGAGCATCACAGCCAGGTGCACTCAGACTGAGGCAGCCCAGCATGCCTGGGCTAGGAATGTGAAGTTTCATAGAAAATCAGAAACCAAGAAAGTCTAATGTGGCACATGCCAGATGGCTTGGATGACAACTATTCAGCAGAGCATCTCAGCTGCTCAGTGGAGCATCTCTCCCTGAGTTTTTTCTGTGTTGTCTGCTGGAACTTCTTGATTCCTTCAGCTACCACAGAATTTCTGTCCTTAATTCATCTTTCCTAACCCAGTACAGGTACTGCTGGCCTTTGAATACCAATTACATGCTCTCATTGGACATCATCCTGCAGAGTGTATTTAGTGCAAGAGCCTCAGGATCTGAGCTCAAATCCGTATGGTTTGGGGGCAATTTCGGGGTGATGTCATAGTATCATTAAGGTTGGAAAAGTCCTCCAAGATCACTGAGTTCAATCTTTGACTCAGCATCACCTTGTCAACTAAACCGTAAGTGCCACGTCCAGTTGTTTCTTGAATGCTTCCAGGGATGGTGACTCTACCACTTCCCCAGGCAGACCATTCCAATGTTTGACCACCCTTTCAGTGAAGAAATTCATCCCAAATTGAAGAAATTCTTCCTGAAGTGAAGATACTCTTCCTGAATTCTTTCTAAGTGATGCACGGAGTGAGGGACTAGAGCAACGAACTTGTACATACTCCAAAACATTATTTTTTTACAGAATTGTACCCAAGAAACAGTGAACCAGGCCACAGAATCCTGCCCGCTGCACGTGACAGTAACCGGGACTGAATTTACTGCTTTAACACCAGGGCTGACATTATTTAGGTTATCCAGGTGAGGATGGCGACTGCTGTGACCCTTCCCCGAGGCCGCCCTGCCCAGACACGGGCAGCTCTTTGCTGCTGAGCGGGCTCGCCCAGAGCCAAGGGCACTGCGTGACGATGACGTCACTCGCGATATGACATCACGCCAGTGACGTCACCCAGCCCCCCTACCTTGGGGCATCCTCGCCTGCCCACAACCAAGATGGCGGCGGGCGGCACCGCCTCTGCCAGTACCGGGGATGGCGCGGGCGCGCATGCGCGGGGGGAGGAGGGGGGCGTGACCATGTTGGAATTTTGGCGGGTGCCGGGGAGCGCGCGCGGCGGTGAGCGGGGATGTGTGAGGGGAAAGGGGGGATCGGGGGGATGTGTGAGGGGAACAGGGGGATGTGAGGGAAAGGGGGATGTGTGAGGGGATCAGGGGGATGTGTGAGGGGAAAGGGGGATGAGGGGAGGGGATCAGGGGAATGTGTGAGGGGAAAGGGGGATGTGTGAGGGGAACGGGGGGATCGGGGGATGTGTGAGGGAAAGGGGGATGTGAGGGGAACGGGGAATGTGTGAGGGAACAGGGGATCGGGGGAATGTGTGAGGGAAAGGGGGATCGGGGTGTGTATGTGATCGGGGGGATGTGTGAGGGGAAAGGGGGGATGTGTGAGGGGAACGGGGGGATCGGGGGCACGGGGAGCGATCCTGAGGGGACGGATCCTGCCGTCAGAGGGTCGGGGAGCCGCGGGGGGAGCCCGAGAGGAGGTCGGGGCTCCGCTGGGTGCGGGGGCGGCCGAGCGGGGAGAGAGAGGAACCGTGAGGGAAAAGGCGCGGGATCCGCGGGGGGCGCTGGCCGTGTTCGCGCGAACCCCGCGAGTTTTGTTGAATATTCTATCAAAAGCGGAGTTTTACGGGCGGAACAAAAGTCTCGGCGGCAGGAAGACCCGTAAGCACAGTTAGGGTTTGGGTTTGTGAGCCCTCCGACCTCGCAAAGTGGATTTCCCATCTTTTCTCATTGAAACCTCTCGCGGCCATTTATGTCCTCCTAGGGTGATTGGGTTTTTTTATGGGCACTTGTCCATGAAACGGAGGAGCTGTGAGGAATGTAGAATATAGCACTTTTAAGAATAATAACCATTAAAAATTTAAATAACTAGTTAAATGCTAATTGCATTACGGTGCACGACTGGTGAGGTGGAAATGTTTATTACTGTGGTTGGGGTTTCTTGAATTCTGTATCTGTTATGGGCTTTTTTCTAAAAGCAGTGCCCCTATGCTGCAGCGAGTTCAGCATGGGTCAGACTTTACATGTAGATGTACATGATGGTCTTAAATTTAGTGGACTTCACATCTGCAGCTGTAAACTATACCAATCTGGTGGTTTGAAAATCCTCAAAGAAGGAGCCTGAGCACAATATGTATTTCTAGATAAACCATATGTGCTTTAACGGTATCACTTTTGTTGTCCCCATAACAGAATATTTTTCCTTGGGGACTCTTGAAGAAATCCTGGTGAAATCATGGACGGTAAGGGGGAAAATACTCTTTTACTTTCAGTAGGAAACTTGTCTTCTGATCCAGTATCTTAGTTAATAAGTTCAAGTGTTCAGAAGACTTGGTAAACCTTTTAGCAAAAGACTTTACGTTGCACTGACTTCATTTGCAGTGACCTTCCTTCTTGTCACTTTCTCGAGAGGCTGCTCTGTCCCTTCCCTGCTTTGGTGCTTTCCTCAGCAGCAAAGGCTAAATCAGTTCCTTTGCTTAGAATTTCAGCTTAGAATTTTAGATTTGCTCTGTCTGTCCCATTTCTCTCTCTGTACGTGATGCTCTTTTTTCCATTATTCACCCATTTGGTCCATATTTCTTTGTTCTCCGTGTTCTTCCATGAGCAAGCTATATCTGAGAAGATACTTTGTTGCCTGCCTTTCCTCTTCCCCTTCAGTTGGCAAAAGCCACATGGGTGTTGGCTGCACCTTTACAGGTTCCAGTTCTTTGTAACAGTACTGTACAAGCAGCTGCATAGGAGGAAAAATCAGTGCTGAGTGATCTGGCAAGTTTTCTGCTGACTGGCCAGGCTGTATCACAGGATGAGTGTCTGCAACCACATTTCCACCCGACCGGACAGCAGGAAGCTGCTCTGTCTTCCTTTAGCCAAAGCTGAAGTGGTTTTTATAAATGCTGCTCTGAGCTCGCTGCTCCAGTTTAGTTTCAGCTGTCATTAGCTTTTAGTTAGAGTGTCTTGGATCCTTTTATTCCTTGGCAGTTTTCTTCTAACCGGGCGTGAATAACTCTGAGTTTAATTTTTGCCTTAGCTGATGATGACTTGGATCTGTTGGCTTCCCTCCTGGAAGAGAGTGAAGCAACTGAGGAGAGGAATCCTCCTGGGGAGGAAGATGCCCCCGAGGATGAGGGGGGAGAGCCAGATGAATACGATGAGCTGTTTGATGCAGAAGATGATGCGTCCTACACCGAGGAGGTCAGTGCTGAGGACAGCACGATTGATGAGCAGAAGGAGAACCTGGCTGCGCTGTTTGGAGATGTAGATGACCTGCTGGAAGAGGAGGAGGCAGAGGAAGCTGTCCCCAGTTCAGCTCCCAGTCAGGCAAAGGAGAAAACCAATGAAGAACTGCAAGGTTTGATCAGCACCTTTGATCTCTTTGTTGGATATATTGTCTCTGGAGGGCTAATGGGCAGAAGGTGGGGCCTGCTGCTTCTTAGAGTAGGATGGCACCCAGAGGAGAAATCAGAAAGTTCTCGTGAAAGCTTCTAAGTCCAGCTTTCAGTGCCCAGTTGCCAAGCTCACCAAACCTGTTCTCCCAAAATAAAGACAGAAGACTTAAGTAAGCCAGGGAGACTAACCTAGCTCTGGTGAACAGGATAGGGAAGATTGCATGTGTACCTGTGCCTTGTCTCATGAAGAGCAATGTTGCTTCAGTCTTCTGGGCTGTTATCCTGACATCTTTGACCAACACAGCAGTCCCTTCCCCCTCAGGGTTTATTGGTAGGACATTCTGCCATGCCAGTCAGTATGGAAGCAGAGCTGACCTCTGAGCTTTCCTGTGTCCAGGCCACATATTTGATTATGTCAGAAGTATTTTGTAATGCTAAGGAGTGCAACCATCAGCCATTAAATTGTCTTATGCTTGGTAGGAAAGTTTTACACAACGCGGCAAGGAGCATACCATGATCAAGTAAAATATTTATAGGAGAGGAGCTAGCTCCAGGCTGTGTGGAAAAGTTTCCCTTCACTGTGAGCTGTGTAGAACCAAGTAAAATCTCTATTGTGGCTTGAGTCTTTGTTTTCTAAGTTCCCATGATGTAGTAAAACTGCCAGACTTCCAGGGATCTCATAAATCCCTCTTTGCACTGGCTTCCTGCTGTCTTCTTTATTATCCTTTTTCTTCTTTCTTTCCTAGCTGAGCTGAGAAAATTGCAAGAACAGATGAAGACATTACAGGAGCAGTTGCAGAAGACTGCAATTGGGCAGCAATCCAGTTCAGGCCCTGAGAAGAAAACCCCTGGTAATGAGACTAATTAAATGGATTTATGATTTGTTGGCTTACCAACGTGCAATTTATAGGCAGGACTCCAAATAATTCTGAAGTGGGGCACTGAGCAGCAAGGAGGAATGTTGGTCTGGTGTATTACCACCCGGGTTTCCTGCTCCTACAGACTAAATCAGTGTTGGTGTCTGCACCATGCATTAATTCTGCATTGGACAGCTTTCATGAGTAAGTGCTCCAGGCTCTTCTGGAAGTGTCCCTTTTTATTGGCAGATGTTGGTACACCTGGTAAATACAGCTGTGTTTGTTGCTGTAGCGTGCTGGGTGTAGTAATGACACTACATGGGAAAATTGCAAAGCAGGGGGATGTTTCTACTTTGCACAGCTTTGAGGTTGCGGTGACATCCAAAGTTTTAGGTTGTCATGGGGAAGAGTCATTTGGACTTTTCCATCCATGTTGCATTTCAGATGCTGACAACTTAGCTGAAGGGTTTACATGTGGGACCCTGACTTGGACTTGTTATTCAAGAATTACAGAGTTTGGAGCAATATTTAGAGTCTAAGTCCAGATCCTGAGAACTCACAGTGTTTTTTGTTTTCTTGGCCAGGTAAATCTCCTTGTCTACCCTTAAAGGAAAGGAAAGTTCAGAAGGTGCAAGAATCACCATGTTTCTCAGCCCAGCTGGGCAATCCTTTGCCAACAGCCAAGCGAGGACTCCAGAAATCAAAAGCATCCTCAGCAGGTACCATTCTCAGTCTGCCTTTCACTGGAACCCACCAGGCTTTTGTTGAAAGCTTATAGTTCCCAGCAGTGTTGTGAACACATCCACGATAGTTTAACAGTATTCAGTGCTCCAGTAGTGGTCTGGTCACAGCAGCACAGAGATTATTACAGTTAATTATTGTATTCTTTCTAATGGGTGCTATGCCTTTTTTTTTTTTTTTTTCTGCTAAAGACAACAAGAATCCTCCTCCACGGCAAGTCCTCAGCATGGCATTCCAGCCTCTCCAATCTGCCACAGGGAACACACCCAGTAAGGTGGTCAGAGAGAAGACTTCTCATGTGCCTGCATGCTCCAGTGCAACAACTCAGCCAGTGTCTGTGGAAACCTTCTCAGGACTGAGATTAAGGTCAGCAGCCCAGCTCTGAGCACTGCCTGGGGTCAACCCCTCTAGTAATAGGAGAGAAAAAGCAATGTACATGGTTTAACCATATCAGATTAGTCACTTGTCACTAGGGGATGTAACACAAAGCCACAGCACTGGCTGGTTGATCAGTAATTAGGCAACATTGACTTTTGGCTTAGTACCACATTTCTGGTTTCACCTTTGCTCTTTTCTAACAAAAAAGCTGTAATTTCATTAGCTCTGCCTTCCCTGGGATATCCTCAGTGGTGGAGCAGTGGGCATGTGCAAAGCCCAACTGTGCTCCATTTGAGTAAGTTTTTGCTCCACAAGGAGAAGCCTCGGGAGCCACTCATCCTCAGCCATCCCCATACTCAGTGTGGCCACAAGAGGACTCTGAATCCTCATGGTGTCTCCTCACCAGAGCCCGTGCTGGATTCCCAGCTCAGTCAGCCATACTTGGTCATTCCTGAAATGAGCAGAGTTAGTGCAGGCTCTGGGCTGAGTTGCAGTGCAGGTGTTTGGACAAAAAACAGCCTGATCAGTAACTTTCTGATATTTGTACAGTGCTCTGAACAAGGGGTTTTGTTTCAAGGGAAGTAAGGCACAGAGGCATTTTGCAGCAAGCTGTAGTCTCCTAAGGAGAACACCTGGATGGTTTCTGTTGTCCATTTATGCCAATGGATGTGCTCTCTCTTACATGCTTTCACTTGATGTAGAAAACCCCGGGTGTCCTCAGCTGAAATGAACAGGAAGATGGCCAACAGGAAACTCATCCGACTGTCCCAGCTGAAGAGCAAACTTGCTGCAGAAAATCTGGAGGAAATAGACTGGGTAACATTTGGAGTCATAGTGAAGAAGGTCACTCCTCAGAGTGCAAATAATGTAAGTAACTTTGTTATATTGCTTGTCCAGTTCAAGTGAAATGCTGGTGGTCTTTCCTGAGAAACTAATTAGGTGTTCAACTTCGTGTAGTTAATGAAAAGCTGCTGTAAGAAAGATCTTGGCTCGTCTGGTTTCATGCAGCAATGCTGCTTTTAGTCCTAAGGGTAAGTCCTTAACTTTTCTGGTGCAACTGCCCCAGACAGCAGCACTGGCTCATGTAACCGTAGCATAAATATGTCTTAAATATGTTCAGCCTCTGCTCTATGTTAAATTCCAGTGTGGAAAAAGGGACTGCGACTCAAACTTTCTCAATGGCCTCTTGTTTCAAATGTGCCAACACATTCTGTTCCCATTGTTTCTCTATGTGGTGTATATATCCTCTAGAAAGTCACTGGTAAAGCTGATCTGGATATGCCTCAGTTTTGTCTGTTCAGTGGGGTAAAACATCTTTATTCAGCAAGCAAGTGTGCTGTCCAGCTTTAATATCAGAAAGGTTGGTGGTAGCAGTAATATTGTGTTGTTTTGGCCTTGAAGAATCCCAGAACTGGCAGCGTGGCACAGCTGGAGATACTCTAACCTCTACTGGGGTTACAAACTGTGCTTTTCTACACCAGGAAAACCTTGGAGGGGGGAAATCAGAGTAACTCTTTTAAAGCAACAGCAAGAGGGAGTGCAGTCAGTGTCCCTGTAGCAAGGGCTGAAAGGAAAGGGGACATCTGTTCCAGGGCAGAACCTTCAGTATATGGCGGCTGAACGACCTGCGGGATCTCAACGAGTGCGTCTCGCTCTTCCTGTTCGGTGAAGTCCACAAGGAGCACTGGAAGACAGACCAGGGCACAGTCATTGGGCTGCTCAATGCCAACCCTATGAAACCTAAAGAAGGCTCAGACGAGGTGAGAGGATTTTTCACTTCCCCATCAGCTGTAGATAAAAACCCATAGCTGAACCTTTTCGTGTCTGGCTGAGAGTTAGCTTTATGACACGTGTTAAGGTTGAAATTGCAACAGTGTGCCCAACAGTTTGAATTGCGTTCAGGGAGTTGCATGGTGTGTATTTGCTCCTGTATTAAGCACCTAAACCCAGAGTTTATTCCAGTGTTTAATCTCCTCTCTGTAGCAGTTGGCTCTTCCACAAATGTAGGGTGTGTATGTTCATTTCATTTCAGTTTATTTAGCTACTTCAGTGCAGCACCTATTTCAGCCTGGAGGTCTCTCAAAGCTGAAAAAGGTGGAGAAGCTCATTTCTCTCTTCTAATTAAAGCACGAGATGTGATTCCAAAATCTCAACTGATAAAGAAGCAATATTTGATTTATTAAACAAATAATGTATTATGAAAGTGCATGTCAGTTGTTACATAGTAGTTCACTTGTTTAATTGAATAGTTATAAATGCATAACATGATGAATTACCTTTCTGTACATATGAAAACATTTAAGGTGGCTTGATTTTGCTAATAAATTAATATATTTTTAATACCATATTAATTACAGTGGAATGGAAACCATTTTCACTGACTTCTATCAAGGGGAATTTCAGTCTAGTAGCTGATCATGTAGTATTTTGCATTTTAAATTCTCCAAATAGAAAAATTGAGGATCTCATTAATTGTCTATTAAGCTACATAATTGCTTAAATTAACTTGAATAAGCAGTAGAAAGTCCTGCTGGTGAGCAGAAAGGCACACCAGATTTAATGGAAGGAATGTATTTAACTGTCAAGAATGGCTCTGCTTAGCTAAAATGTTCACATTTAGAGCTACATTAAAACTGATTTCTCAAAGTGTTTCTTGGCTACAGACACAATTCCTGGTATCTCTGGTTGTCATTCTTCTTGCACAGGAGTCAGTTTTGATGGAACCTAGACATGTGGGAAGGAGAGAGAGCTCTTTACAACTCTTGCTCCCATCCACTGCCTGATGTGAGTGCCATGATGGCGTCAGAGCCCAGTGGCTCTACAGGAGCACTTACAGCACAGCGAGATCTGCCTCTGCTTGTCCTTGGTTTCCTGAGGCACTGAGCATAGAAATCCAATGTCTTTAATCTCTCCGTGAGAAATTCCCTTTTCTTCTTTTTAACTGAGCCTTTTCTCAGTCTGAATAGGACACATGGCTTTCTTAAACTAGGCCTGCATCTTAAGACTGCATTGTTAATACCAGAGGTACCAAATTAGGCCAGAGCCAAACCAGTGACATCTGGAATCATAGAATGGCCTGGGTTGAAAGGGACCTTAAAGATCATCTAGTTGCAACACCCCTGCTCTCAGTCCATGAGGCCAGGTTAATCAGAGCCCCATCCAACCTGGCCCTGAACACTTCCAGGGATGGGACATCCACAGTTTCTCTGGATAATCTGTGCCAGTGCCTCACCACTGTCACAGTAAAGAAATTTCTCCTAATATCCATTCTAAACCTGCTCTCTTTCAGTCTGAAGCCATTCCCCCTTGTCCTGTCCAGAGAGAATCCCATCCAGTCCTCCTCAAGGCATGTTCTGATTTCTTTCTAGGTGTGTTTGTCTGTGGATCATCCCCAGAAGATCCTGCTCATGGGGGAAGCTCTCGACATGGGCACCTGCAAAGCCAGGAAGAAGAACGGTGATCCTTGTGCCCAGATTGTGAACCTGGTCTGTATCTCAGTACATCCTTACATCCTTAAGTACATCCTCAGGACATCCTTAAGCTGTTGGTGAAAATGTGGCTGCTGATTTTGTACTGATGCTCTGACTTTTTGACTTGTTTCTGGCTCTTGACTAACTGAAGTGGGTGGAGAAAGTGAGAAATTAAACCAAGAGAAGCTGCTTCTGTGCTGGCACTGAGCAGCAGCAGGGGAGTTCCCTAAATGCAAAGCTGGTGCTGCAGTGAAAGGACCCATGACTGCCACACCCTTTCACTCTGCTTTGCTCCAGTGTACTGCACTAGAGAACTCATCCAAGGTAAAACAGCAGGAGATTTTTCTTGGGAATGGCTGTTTTTCGGGATGGTTTTTTTAACCCAGTGAGTTCCCTGGTCCAGTGTGCCTGCAAGCTGTCAGAATAATTATGCCTGAATGTGGGGCACTGGACATGAGAGGAAAAGGTGTTGGGAACCTTCTCTTAGGACAGTACTGGCTTGTACTAGTTTAAAGGACGTGTGGATTATGTCACTTCATGGCTATGGTGATGCTGTGATACCTGAAAGGGATCCTGTCTGAGTCAGAAGGGTTATGGTTAGTAGAGTGGCACTTAAAAGGAGGAGAAAAATGAAGGAATGAAGACCTGGGGAAGAGCTCAAAGTGTGTGGATTGTGAGGAAGACAAATACAGAAGGTACTTGTGGCAAAACAAGGTTGTGATTGCAGACCCACTCCAGGAAGTGCCTATGCATACAGTGCATAGAATTGCATATAGCTGAGAGTCAAGAATACAGAATCTGGGCAAGAGGTCCTGGATGCTGTGTGAGTTGACTTCAGCCAAGAAGCAGCCTTAAAATTCCTTGAGGCACAGGGTTGTTTCCAGTGATTAGTGTGGGCAATTTTAGCTTTGTTTTTCATTGCTGGAGTGTGGGCATATGTTGGATTAGGTGGTCAGATGCTGGAGTACTGCAGTTACTTTGGTTTAGCCACAGAATGATGCATGAGTGGGTGAGAGGAATGAAGTAAATTGTAGTTGCTGGTGTTCTGTAACAGGCTTCTCCCATTTCTTTCCAGAATGACTGTGAATATTGTCAGTACCACATACAATCCCAGTACAAGAAGCTCAGCTCGAAGCGGGCGGATCTGCAGTCCACCTTCTCTGGCGGCCGCATTCCCAGAAGAGTCAGTCGGAAAAATCCCACTTTGAAGGAGAAACTGTGTCAGGACGGGTTTTACTATGGGGGAGTCTCTTCAGCAGCATATGCAGCCTCAGTGTAAGATAAACCACTTATTTCTCTTGCTTTTGAACAGAATTTCCCTCCCAAGGGAACTTGAAGCTGTCTCTAGGGAGGTCTATTTAGTTAGAGAACCCTTTGCCTTGACTGCATTCACCAAATAGGAGTAACTGCCCCACATTTGGCATAGTCCTCCTGGCTCTGCGGGGCAACAGAGCTGCTGTTTGATAGGAAAATTTTAAGTCATTGCTAAGATGTGGTAAGGGGGGTTCCTACCTCTAAGTTAATACTATGATATGAAGCCAGGCAGCATTGGGTTTCAGTAGATGAAATTAATTTTACCATGAGATCCCAAGCATTTGAGTCTCCCAGAGGGGTGTTTTTCAGTGTAACTGTATTTTGTTACGGCTCACTGCATTTAATCCCAGACACAGTGTATTCTGTATTCCCTCCTCTCTCCCTTGACTGAAATAATAGAGTGTCACTATGTGTTAACAAAGAGACAGGAGTGACCAAGATCAGTGTGCATCTCATAGCTAGCATGGAGGGGCCAGGTCCTTTATCCAAATCCCCTGAAGACAGGTGTGGAAAGATGAGGCACAGCTGGATCAAGCCCTGTGCTTGGACACAGCTTTTATTCCCTTATCACTGCCCTCTAATACCTCTGGTGGGACTCTACAGAAATGAAGCAATTCCAACCTCCTTTCCATCCCTGGAACTAACTGTGAGCAAAGCTTAGCTATCATCTATATTTAGTTTTCTCTCAATGCATAGGAAATAAATATTTCAACACGGGGAGAAATGGGAGATCCTAAACATGGTGCTGGAATTTGGATTTAGGTCCACATCCTTTCAGAGACAGACAGATGATGCTTTAGGGTGGCTGGAGTGCTGTTGAAGCACTGGGGTAGAATTCAGGCTCCTGTCCTTGCTCTAAGCGTGGAAAAACTCCGATGTTCTGGTTCTGTTTCCTCTTTGCAGTGCAGCAGCTGCGATGCCGAAAAAGAAGATTCAAACCACTCTCTCCAACCTGGTCGTGAGAGGAGCTGATGCAATTGTCCAGGAAACCAAGCAGAAAATTGGTACCCACTTACCCATGTAGTCTCTCCCTGCTTTACACATTTCCATCTCAGTGTGTAGATGTGTCCCAGGACCTGGTAGTCACTGAATGAACCAGCCCTTTGCTGGCTCATTTCTCAGTTGATCAAAACCCCTCTTCCCTCCTGAGATCACAACTGCAGGGCAAATGTAACCAAGCAACTGTGTAGCTCCATGAATCTTTTTTCATCAGTGCCCACGAATTAAGTCCCCTGCTCTGTCTTTGGACAGTGACAGAAGATCTGTCCGAATTAATGGGAATTGGAAGTTTTAAGAACTTTGAACTAGAGGATTTATTTTATTTGATTAAAATAAATTACTTCTGTCGACCTTGAAAGCTTCCAAGGAATACTAAGTATAAATCAGTCTGGTCTGCAATGCAGGGGAGAAACCACCCTGTTTCTAGTCCTTTTGTTTTGTGATCCTCAAAGCATGTTCCTTCCATAGCCCTTTGGGATGTCACCAGTCTTCTCTGCCTCTGTTTTGTTTCTGTAAAGCACTTAATATTATACCCTCTTCATGCTCACTGGAGAGCAGGTGACAGATTATTCAAACTGCCTTCTAGGTGCCACTTACACACCTTATTTAAATCTTGCAGTTCCATCAGTTGCCTCCATTTCAGACCACACAGTGTATGTCCGTAGCAGCTTTCAGGATCCAGGGATAAGGTGTGGAGGCTTCAGGACTTTCAAGCATTCTAAAAGTGGGAACAGTGAGAGTAACACAGACAGCCCAAGGCGGATGAGAAACCAACTGATGAAATTGCTGACAGGGTAGAAATGTCTTTGTGATGTGCTTTGTGAAGACAAGGCCTCAGGCAACTAATTTAGAGGTGGGCCTTGCTTTGGGAGGTGCTCACTCAGGTGACCCACAGGGGTTTCTTCCAACCTAGATGACTCTACATCTCTAAAGCCAGGCCTGCTTCCCTTCCTGGCTCCAAATCTGTTGTGTTTCTGCCCCTTCCACTCCAGGTGCAGCAAAGAGACCCATGCAATGTTCTGAGGAGTTCAAGGAACTGCTGGCACAGCCCACTTTTGGAGCACGAAACCTCTGCAAACACTGGACCAAAGCAGGTATTGTCCTTTAGCCTAAAGGAAAATCCACTCCTGAAATCACTCTACACCCTCTGAACAAACATTAGTGGCTTTTTATTTTGGTTTGTTGCTTTACTGGGGTTTTTTTCCCAGATGCTGAAAAGAAGCAAGGGGCCAATTTCCAGTCGATCTCTGCTTCAGCACTGCTCAAACAACAGAAACAGAAATTGCTGGAGGCCAGAAAAAAGCGATCTGAAGAGATTCAGAGGCGGTAAGGCTTTCACAGGAAAGGTTCTGTCATTGTAGCCCCAGGTATAACAGTGTTTTAACAGAAACTTCATTTAAATAGAAATACTCTAGTATTCAGTGGAGAACCAAATGTTCCAGCACAGTCCCCAGCAGCTGGAAGGCATGATGAGAGGAGGCTGATTAGAGTAAGAAACTGGAATCAGGAGTCCTGGTTCTGTTCATTGCTGGCTTGCAAGGGTCTTCTGAACCTTAAGATTTGCCAAGTGTTTTGTTCATATCTTATTAACAAACCTAAGAAGAACTTCAGAAGAGCCACCCTGGTTGAGGCTGAGACTGATGTAGCCAAGTAGCCTCAAAAGGCTCAAGAGGAGCCAAAACAGAATCCAAAGGAGAATAATAGGCACAATTATGATGATATTTCCCTCATATATTCTTTCAGCCTACAACAGTGAGCCTTTCAGGGACTTTCCAAGCTAAAGGTGGTGTCTGTTATAATAGTTCTGAAGGAATTTTTTCCCCATGAAACTGTTCAACCTCTATTGTGACCTACATAAACAAACACTTATGTGGCTCCTGGGACATAGAACCCCCTGCTTAACTACCTGTTCTGCAAAGAAGCCCATTTTTCCAAGTGCTTCCACTTCCCATGTCCCAACTTTCTTTGATGCCTCTCTCTCTGATTTTAGTTTGGGAAGCAATTGGTCATTCACTCCTTCTGGTGGCTTCTTCAAGTCACTCTTGATTTCAGCAACCCAGCGAGTTCTTTACCAGCCTTGTTTTCCTCTCCTGAATTCCTAAGTTACTGTATGTTTCTTTTAGCAATAAAAGGCCAATTAGTGAAAAATCACAGTCTGCATCCCCTCCTATTTGTTTCTTAAACCTTTTTGGCTCTTTGGCTTGTGTCCCTAATTGAATGAATTGTTCTTGTCTTGGAAGGTTTCTCCAGAGCACAAGTAAAGCCAGCAGTGCTGCTGTCCCGTCCTCCTCCAGGCAGACCTCCCTCCATTCCCCAGTGGCTGGGGCAGAGTTTCCCAAAGATGCAAAAATGTCCACTCCTCAAAGGCCCAGGCTGGGCACTGGCTTCTCGGAAGGAGAAGATATCCTCTTCTTTGACAGGTCTCCACCTCCTCCAAGACCAAAGCTGGACAGCTTGGCTGAAGCCAAAAAGGTACCAGCTCTTTGGATCTTTTCAGTATTAAGAAGGAGGGGTTAAGGGAAATCTGGTTTGTGGTAGTAGAAGAGTCTTTGGTCGGATATGGGGCAGCTCAGTTCTGATGATAGTGAAGCTTGTGATTTTTGGGGTCACACTGGCCTATGTTCCAGCACACGAGTAAACCTGTGGTTCCTGATAGCTGTTAGTGCCAAAGGCCATGCTACCATCTTGCCTTTAGTCAATCCCTTAAGGCAAGGGATCTGTCCTGAAAATCCCTGGAGTGCTAAACTCTGCCTGTTTGCTCTTTGGCATTGCTAGTGCAGTGTATTGTGGTTGTTTTCCAGGTAAGCAACAGTGAACTAAACTGGTTTAGCTGTGTTGTGCCATGAGTTTGGATAATTTTGGTTTCTAGCCAGAACAGACTGCATCTTTCCGTGGCAAAACTCTGCTCACAAGTTTGTCAAAGAAACCTTTGTCTTCCAGAAAGAAGTAAGGAGACTTAGCATTCTGGGAGTATGAAAAGTAATAGTTGTATTCAATTTTCTACTGGTTCCAAATTATTGTCAATTTATGTAGAAATCTCAAGGGGTTTGATTTCTCTGGAAAACTTACTGAGTTGTGAAGCAGGTAAAGCACAGCTACAGAGATGCCAGACCTGTTAACACCTGTGGAGGAGTGATTTTATGGTTTGGGAAGTCATGAGATGTTGGGTGATGTGGTGAATTAGATGTACAGCAGAGCTGAGAATTTTGCTGGGCCTCTCCAGCCAGCTCCGTGCTCAGGCCACTGGATTTTGTCTCCTCAGTTTTGACAGCCTTCCTCTGCTTCTTCTGGGAGTAGGAACATGGGAGCCAGACAGGTCACCAACACTTTCCTTGCTCTTTCCTGTTTTCCAGCTGGCTGCAATCCACCGACTGCGAGCAAAAGGACAGATTCTGCCTAAAACAGACCCAAACAGTGTCAAGAGGAAACGGGCTGATGCTGGTGATGTCCTAGAAATTGTTGAAAGAGTTGAGAAAAATGTTGCTCAGCCACAAGGTGCAGAAGCAGAGAATGGTATGTAATGTTAGCTTGAGAACGGAAAAAATGTGCTTCTGTCTTTCTGAACAGAGCAGCAGTTGCTGGATTAAGGACTTAATTGCTGTGTTAATGAGGGGCCAAGTTAGGTCTGTTTGAAACTTCAGGGATTTGCTGCAAAGACTAAACAACTTCTAACCCTGTGGAGAGAGTGCGAGATGTAATCTCTGGTAGCTCCCTGTCCTCATCTCTATTCGCTTCTGGCATTGACCATCTGCAATTTGTGGCTGACATAACCAAGGGAAACCAAGAAATAATCCCACCTGGGAAGGTGTCTTAGTTTTCTGTGAGAACTTCAGTTTGCCTGCTGGTGATTTACTGTGTGATCTTGGATGAATTGCTTAATTCCCTTTAAAGCTTCTCCATCAGTGAGTGAGGCAACACTGCTTGTTCTCCTGGGAGTAATGTGAAAATTCCTAGGACAGTACTTTGAGAGAAGATGCAATATTGTTTAAAAAAAATGCTTTTCTTTTTTTCTGAAGCCATATTTGAACTTGGCTTCATGTTCTTGAACTACAAAAGGCTGCTGTTTGACCTGAACATCTGCCTGAGAGACCTGAGACTTCCAAAATCTCCCGCAGTGATCATGCTTAGAGATCACAACCTTGTTTTGTAGGACTGAACCTTTTTGTCTCCCTAGATGTGGATGAGCTGGAACCTGCCCAAAAGAAACGGCGTGAGCAGCTGGCCTATCTGGAGTCAGAAGAGTTCCAGAAAATCCTGAGTGCCAAGTCCAAGTACACAGATGTCCTGAAAGAGGTATGGCCTCAATCCAGCCGTGACTGAGGGCTCAGAACTAGGGAGCTGACTGGACTCCTCATAGTGATTTCAGCAAGAAATGGACACCCACACATGTCACAGGCACCAGATCCTCCCGATGAGCAGGGTCGTGTCTCTCTGAGCACACAGGGCACAGTGCCTGCAAGTCAGCACTATTGCCAGAGCCATAATAAGGTCAAGTTGCCATTAGGTGTTTTTTTTTTTTCCTGTGTTTGAAAGAATCAATGAAGTTTCTTGATTAGTGGGTGATCATAGAAATTGTTCTGCTTTAAAACAGAATTAGTCATTTTGTGACTCATGTCAGTCATGGAGCCTGTGAAATGCCAGTAATTGCCCTGAGGAGCTCAGTCTCCCATTGGAGTCTTTGCTGAGCATGTTCCCAGGGATACACAAGACACAGGCCCTTGTGTTGGACATGTTGTACTGGTATGAAGTCATAGTTGTTTTAAGGTCTGAGGAGGAGTAATGTTTTGGGTAAAAACCAGTTCCATTCGTTACATCTGCCTCCTACCTGCCCCCTCTCTGCACTGTCCTCATGGGCACGTCCTTATTTCTGTACTTTATGCTGTTGTTAAACCTGCCCACTCGTACATCTCAGAGGGGGCTCATTGCAGTGTTGGTGTAGCGTGTTTACAGTGTGGGTTATTTGAAGCAAGAGAGGTTTGGTGTTTCTCTGCTCACAGATTGCAGTCTGTTTCAAGAAGGCCTGGTAATAATTTGCCCTAAGGCCATTTATGGAGTGGCTTCTCCTGTCTTTGTCTCCCCACAACCCTCTTTTTGTGCCCCCCAGGCTGAGGCTGATCTGCAGGAGCAATACTTTCAGCCACTGGTGAAGAAGGAAGAACTGGAAGAGAAGATGAGGAACATCAAAGCAGTGAAATGTCGAGTTGTGACGTGTAAAACGGTGAGGGAAGGGGAGCCAGGGTAGCAGCAGTGGAGTGGAGCATGGATGGTACAAAATGATGCTGGGTATCCTGCAGACTCCCATCTGTCACTCTCTTGGCTGTGATCCAGCACAGGGATCAGATGGAGATGATTTTGTTCCTTGTTCCTCTTGCTGAGAGCAGTACTGGTTAAGACATGGCAAGGCAGGCTTTAGTGCTGTACTGAACATCTCAACCTTGTGTTTGTGCCGGTGGGTGGGTTCCTTGGGCATTGGTGTCCTGAAAAGATTTCTCAGTTTCTTCCATGAAGTGCTTCGTACCAGGACAGTTCCCCACCTTACACAACAAAATAGGCAAAGTGATTTGAAAACATTAACAGTGGGTGGGAATCCTCCATCTGCATTTCCAGGGACTTTGCCATCAGGAAGGGGAGGGGAGCTTTGTGACTGCCCCAAATGTGCTGAGGGGAAGGGAAGTGTTGCCTCCCATTCCTGGAATTTCAGCCCCTGCTGAACTTTCCCTTTTGCTGCCTTCCCTGTCAGTTTGGGGTCTGCACAGAGGGCCACTGTGTGCCCCATGAGGTGCTGGGAGCAGGGCCACAGGGTGGTGGCAAAGGAAGGATGGCATTAGAAGGAGCAGTGATGAAGCCTGGGCTGGTGACCAGTGACAGGACCTGAGGAAATAGCCTGAATGTGTCAGGGGAGGTTTAGGTTGGATATTAGAAAAAGGTTCTTCCCCAGAGGGTGGTTGGGCACTGGAACAGCCTCCCCAGGGCAGTGATCACAGCAGAGTTCAAGCAGTGTCTGGATGATACTCTCAGGCACACGGGATGACTCTGGGGGATGGTCCTGGGCAGGGCAAGGAGTTGGACTCGATGATCCTTGTGGGTCCCTTCCAACTCAAGATATTCTGTGATCCTGTGAAAGGTCTGACTGGTGGGCTCCTCGGAATGGGAGAAGATAGGGATGCTTCCCTCTGAACATTCAGCTGTTGCTGGTCACAGAACAGGTCTCACACCCTGGTGAAGCACTCACACCTCTCTCTCTCCTCTCTGACAGTGTAATTACACCTATTTCAAGCCTCTGGAGACGTGTGTGCAGGAAAAGCACGACTACCACTGGCATGATGCCATCAAGCGATTTTTCAAATGTCCTTGTGGAAGCAGAGCTATCTCCCTTGACAGGCTCCCAAAAAAGCACTGCAGGTAAGAAAGAAACCTCATGAAACAGTGGCTGGGACTTTTGTACTGTCCATTCACAAATAACATGTTGTGAGTCTCATAACCACGTCCTAAACCGGGAACATTAACCTTTGTGCCAGGCAGTGTGGGCAGGGTGTGGGCACAGTTTTATACTCCCTCATACTGTGCAGCAAACGCACACCACAGTGATCCTCACCTGCCATCTTCATCTTTCAGTACCTGTGGCCTCTACAAGTGGGAGCGAGATGGGATGTTAAAGGTAAGTGTGAGCAGCAGTTCCTGAGCACCTCAGCGCTCTGGCTGTTCCCCTTGGTACTTTTGTCCCCCGCTTTGCTTCCCTGTCCTTATGAGCTCCTGGCAAAGCCAAGCAGCTCTGCATTTTGTCAGGGGCACACAGGGACCTGCAGGCTGTGTTTTTAGTGGACTTCCTCCTCTTCACTTTCTGTTCTCAAAGCTTTGTTTCATTTAACCAGGGAATTTGCTTGTGAACAAAGCTGTAAGAATTCGAAATGTCAAGGTCCCTAGAGTGTCTTGTCAATATTTAATCATCTTACCATAACTTCTGTCAGAGAAGTGTTTGGGGGACATCTACCCACATGCTTAACTTCTTTTCTCCATGATTCATGTTTCCAGGAGAAAAAAGGTCCGAAGATTGGTGGAGAAACACTTTTACCAAGAGGCGAGGAACAACCAAAATTTCTCAATAGCCTTAAGTGACCTGGAGTTGTTTTTTTTCCACAACCTGAGGACGGATTTCTGTGCCTGAAACACACATTTATACTGCACTGCCAACAGGATCCAGGTTTTAGGGATGTATGAGTGGGGGAATCAGTTCTTGATGAAAGGGACATCTGCAAGGTGTCCACCAGGCCACTGCATGGATATTGAGCTTTGGTCTTTTTTAAATTGACTGAATAAGGCTGCATGTGAAATGCATATCTGTGCCTGTTCTTTCAAACTAACCACACAAGAGTGACCTCACCAGACTTTCAAGTGACGAATCATCATGAATGGAGGGACAGTAGATTCTTTAAGCACTTGTGAAATTAATACTGTGATGTGATGCAATTAATACTAAATGCCAGCCTGTCAGGTTTTTCAGCTCTCGGCCTAAAAGAGGATTGTAGGCACAGGCCTTTCTCCATTGGCTTCAGAATTACTCCCTTTGGACCCTTAGGAACAGAAACAGTTTCCAAGTTTTTCCTTGGCTTAGGTGTTACAAAACCCTTCCATGGCTCTGGCATTGCAAGACTCAGGAGCTCCCTGTCCCACAGTCCTTGTCATGTTCCCTGCACCATCCACACTACAGCACTTCTAGGGCTACAGACCTGCAGCTCCCACCTTGAAAAGCATTTTAATGAATGTGGCACCACTTTGGGAGTGGTTTTAAACAGCTGAGTGATTACATTTAAAAGCTTTTACCCATTTTCTAGCGTTTTAAATGGGGGCAGTGGCTGTCGCAGACCAAGCAGGGCAAGATCTCCCTCCAGGGGGTGGCTCCTGTCTCCATACGGGTGTTTTTCTGAAAGCACATCTCTCTAGGGGTGCCTGGGGCATTTGACCAGCTTTTCCTGCACCTGAGCCTTCTGCTGCCCTTAGCCCAGGCCCAGCAGGATCCCAGGACATTTTTAACTGCCTGAAACCACTAGAACCTCAGTGATTTGATCAAAGTGCCACCAACGGTCCCAGTGGCCTTGTCAGTACCTCTTGTTTGATTGCACAGGGGCTGTGAGAGAAATAATTTGCTTCATTTGAAGAGAAATAAGTTCATTTGAAGCAACTGGACAGATTCACCTCGGCATTCTGCAGCCCTCATCCCTTCCTGGTGCTTTTCCTGGGCAGCTTGGCCTACTGCCTCGGTTTCAGTCTTGTGTCGGTACCCTTTGATGGGTGGGGTGTCACTGGTAGGTGACTAAATGTGTAACTGTCCCCTGTGCATTCCTCATCCAGAATAAATAGCGTGCACAATAAAACACTCCCTGGGTCTGTGTGTGTCCTGGAATAAAGAAAAACCATCCCTGAACAGCTTCCCAGTCCTGCAAACCACAGCCACACACACATTGGCAGAATTTCTGAGCCACAGAAACAACACAGTGCAAACCCAAACATGGTTTTGCCCTAATTTAATCTTCATTTCAAAAATAAAAGTAAAATCCATGTCTTCATCAGCTTTACCAATGACTTCCCATGTGAGCTCTGATTTGCTGGTTTATTTTGCATGGAAAAAGGATGTCAAACTTTAAAAACAATCGTGTAGATTTTTATATTACTATTAATTTCATCTAACTATAATGAGTATATTAAGATTATTAATAACCTTACATTAATAGAGCATCAGCCAAAAAGTATATCAAGAGAGAAACTAGAAAAAATAGTCAAGAAGCAATGCACAAACTCTCATCATAATTTTTCTTTGATTACCTAAACTAACTGCAGCAATCTGGTTTTGTAGGTCAGGTGCTCTTGGAGGTCCATCAGCTGTTCAGCCTCGCTGCAACTATTTCGTATTAAAATAAAATGGTTTTGCAATGTAGCATTTGGGCAAGTTCCTTACACAGAGGGCAAACAGCACATAAATCTGGCTCCTCAGAAGCTGATGCTCAGGCACGCTTTCCGTCCTAGCCTTTAGAGGTCACTTCAAAGATTCATTCTATATCTTTGCACGGGACAGACAACCCTAAATGAAATAAAAATTCTGACGCACTTGTCGTAAACCAAAAGGCTCATTGGATTGACGTGGTGTACAGAGGGGACACCACAGATCAATAGTTCCCTGGAAGTGTTCAAGGCCAGGTTGGACAGGGCTTGGAGCAACATGGTCTAGTGCAAGGTGTCCCTGCCCATGGCAGAGGGTTGGAATAAGATGATCTTTAGGGCCCCTTCCAACCCAAACCATTCTATAATTCTCTAAACGATGCCCTCCTATTCTTGCACTTTCAGTTATAGTCACCTGAAGAGCTGCCCCAAGTTTGCCCCACCTGGGTTGATTTGCACTGGAAGATACCAAGGCACGTGGATGAAATAAATTCTGGCAGCTCAGAGGTGGGAAAGGTGATGAGCAGAGCTCGAGGGGGACTTGCAGAGCTCCTTGGCTGCTTCCCAGAGATCTGAAGGGGTTGCCCAGGGAGCAAGGGCACTTCTCCAGCACAGGCAGGCAGCAAGAAGCCTTATCAGCAAAAAGGCCAAAAATGCTTGTGAGTTACAAGATAAGGTCGTGAATTAAGATTAGCACAAGGTCTGGAGCAGAAGTCATATTTTGCTTGTCCAAATTCAATTACTTCTTTCTCCAGCTGCTCTTGGATCATGTTCTTAAAATCAGCGTGGTGCCCTCTGAGCTGTGAGGCAATTGGGCATCACTCACTGCCCCTTCCACTACAAATGAGGGCTGGACAAAACCCTCGTGTGTCCCAGATCGTGGACACCCCACCCTCCCTCACAGGCCATGTCAGCAAGTTCCTTCCTCTCCAAGCACTCTGCTCTCCTGACAGTGTCCCCTTGGAGCAATACCCTTCCTGGAGAAATTCCCTTGCTTTTGCCAGACACCTCAGAGCAGGAAACAGCTCCAGTCTCAGCTCTGCTGCACCACAAAAGGGTATAAAAAGCCAAATCTACTTAGAAAAAACTGTAGTTTAGTTAATTAAACTTTCTTTTCACCCCCAGTTTCTCTTGCATGAAGTAAGACTTTGATCTACAGCACTGGAAGCCAAATCCAGGATTCTAAATCCTTCCTCTGGCACCAGGCCAAGCGTCTTCGTATCAAAGCGCTGAGCATGCAACCGCTGTCAGCAAGGTCAGGAGTCAGACTAAATCTGACATTTCTGAACTGTTAGTCTGGAAAATAGCACATAAATTCCAAGCAAAGAATCCTCTCTGTGTTTATTGTCTTTTACCAAGCTCCAGAAGGCCCTTGTTTTCAACACATGTGAAATGTCAAGGCCAAAGAAAAAAGGTGTCTCAGAAACTGGGGCTTCTTCGTGCAGGTGCAGAAGGGTGAATAAGCAGCTGGGTGTCTAATTTTTGCAAGGGATTGGTAACAGGGAGCAGAGACCTAAACGTCAGAAACATTAAATTAGAATGTTTTGGATTGTAGTGCGATGTTATGTATAACAGCACTTCAATTTAGGTATTTAGGTACACACATGTACCTCCAACGTGTGAACCCAAACATCTACAGCAAACCTAGTTATAAGAAACATATCTTACCAAGCCAGGGCTAAACTAAACCACGCTAATACCATAAAAACTTAATATATTAATAATATATTAATATATTTTCAGAATTATTTTCAATTCAATTCAATCCAAGCAACTTTTCTAAGAAGGCAAGTTAAATACACGGTGACCCAGGTGTGTTAACACCTTCTGCATTTCCTCCCCGAGGAAGTTTATTTGTCAGCCAGAATCCAAGAAAAGCCAAGACATGAGGAACTGTACCTACACGTTACATACATTTCTTGTTGTATGAAAAGCGAGTGTGAATCTGCTGCTGGTAACAACCCCAGCATGAACACAAAGTACAAATCCATGTGTGATTGGACAGAGCACGTATTACAGCACCACATACCCTTCCAGAAGGGTTAGTCTGACCTGCCCAGCTTGGCCATTGCCTTCACCTTGGCATTAAAACATGTGTATGTTCACAAACCTCTGCTGGGTTCTCCCACCAGTGTCCCCTTCTGGCTTGTTACCTCTGGCAGGGTACAGGATCTGAAGAGCTCTTCATCCTCCCAGAAATTGTGCACTTTACCAACTTTTTTTCAGGCTGAATGAAGTCGGGTCTGCAGATCTCGTCTCATTATCACAACCTTCTGGTGGATTCATCTCCTTCTGTCCCAGGGAGAGCTGTCGAGAAACCCTCCCCACAGCAGACACAGAGGGCACTTGGAAGAAAATAATTAAGTAGTAGTTGAAATTAAATTTTTGATTTTTGTATGCACAAAGATACAATTTACCAAAACATTTTTGGCTGAGCAGCAGGAGCAGTTATCTGGACTACAAATTAAGGAGTAATCACTCAAGCAAAATAGAGTATGAAAACATCACTGCAGCGAAATAACACCACTCCTAACAATTCACAGGGAAAGCACAGGAACTCATTTTAACAAGTTTAAACAAACTGGACTGTGTCCTGCCAGGCAGAGCGAGCACAGTCTGCCCCGGAGGACAGTAAACCCCTCCCCCTTGCTAATGAAGCCTCACAACTGCTTTGTGTGTGGATTGGAGCTTCACACAGAGAAACTCTAAACCTTACCTGGCAAGAGTCACACGAGGTGTGAGCAGGACACAGCCCGTGCAAGTGCAACAGTGGTGGGTGAAGGGAAAGCAAAAGGGAGTGAGAGCAGCAGCTGAGGAGGGAGATTAAGAAGAGAAATACTCAGGGGATAAGGAGGAGGAAGAGGCACTTACAGGGCACAAGCAGACAGTGAGAGCTGGGTTGGAAGCACCACAGCTGGTCTGGAGCAAAGGACACCCACGTGGAGGGCACTGCTGCACCAAGCTCGAGAGGAGGGAAATGCTTCACCCCGTGTTTCGGGTCCCAATTTCTGCAGGAATGGGACTCACAGCTGTGCAGGATCTGCAGATGTCCAGGGCACCACAAAACCTTCAGGAGGGTCCTTCCCCTTCTCTTTTCTCAGGGCACCACAGAGCTGATGGAGACACAGGCAGGGGCTGGGCCCCAGCTCTCCCAAGCACCTCCACCTCCCAGAATGGGGGGACAGCAGACAAGTCCACCGAGTGCTGGACTCCATCTCAACACCTTCCTCCCACGCCTTGCAGTGCCTCTTCCTCTCACTGGTTCTGCCCTTGACACCTTGCAGAGGACAAGTTTGGGTTGCTTGGACAACTGAAACCAAGAGGCACAGGCTGGGAGGGAGCTGCCAGCTCCAGCAGCTCATTTTGGTAAAGGCACGGAGTATTTAAACTTTCCCCCTCACACAGCCCTTCTGGGAATAACACATTCACAGGCATGTTATCCAGCTGCACAGGCAGTGTAACGCCTGGAGCCACTCAGAAGCAAATAAACACTTTTGGAGAGACTGGCATGGTGAAGATCAGGATTCAAATAACTTCATTTATTGTTCACAGGATGCTCGGGAACATTGTCAAATTTAAAAATCAAAAAGACCTTTGTTCTAACAAGTCGTTTGTAGTTCTCCAAATCCATGTATCTCCTCCTGGTTCCTGTGCTCTTCAGGGAAAACTCCTTCAGTATAAACCTGAAAAGGAGCCAGGAAATCCAGGCTTCTCCATACAACCCCCTCACCCCAGCCAACCAAGAAAGAGAAAGACTTCACCCTGTGGAAGTCAAACCCTCAAACCTCAGCAGGTTTGAGCCTCCTGCTGTCTGTGCAGTTTTGAGGGGAGAAGCCAACTCCAAATGTTGCTTTTCCTCCCAGCTCAGTTCAGAGCTGGGGATGAAGTCACAGGAGTAAGAGCAAAGGTCTCGCCAAGGCAATTGGGAATGTGGCTTCATCACAACACATCACAGCCTGCAGATCAAGGCACTTGCAAGGACCAGGAGCAGAGTGGTCCGTGTTTTGGTTCACCAGAGGCTGAACATGGTCCTTCTCTTATCAGGCTCTTCCTTTTTAGCACATGAACTTTTCACAGGATAGCAAAAAAAAAAAAACCAAAATCCAAAAAACCCCAACCCAAAACAAACCCAACCCTCTCTGAAGGAAATAGTTTGTCACTTTAGGATTGCAAAAATCATTGAGGGATGGGCAGCGTGTTTGGGGACAGCACTTGGGTTCCTGCACTTGTTCTTCATGGGCCCGTGGTGCACTGGGCTTCCTCCTGGAAGAAACATTAGGCTTGGGGAAGCAGGTGACTCGGTTAGTTATTGCTTTTCATTTCCTCCTCCCCTTCCTTCTGCCAGGGTGGTGATTCAAAGAGGACCTGAGGGCTGGTGAGACCTTGTAGCTCTCCCTCTGCAGTGACCCAAATCAGTGGCATGGTACTGCCAGGAAATCATATCCTAGGAGACAAATGGCTGTGGGGTTGTTTTACACAGAAAACCAAGTGCTGGACACTGAGATTAATTTCTAGCCATGAATTCCCACTAGTGGGGCCTGTGCTTCGGAAACCTGGGATTGCAGGATCTCTGCTGGCTGGGATGGGTGGGAACAGAAACACTTAAAAGACTTACCAGGTCGATCTCTCACACAGGAGGTCACATTTACATGAACTAATGGAGAATCCTTTGGACTCCAGCTCTTGCTCACACATCCCATGAGGAAGTGCTTGTAGATCCCACTCTCAGGGACATGGTCCTGCACTCAGGAGTGTGTAGCTTTGCTCAGAAGGAGACACGAAGCCCTGCTGGATCTGGATCTGGCTCTGCCCAGAGTGGTTTCAGGGGCAGGGATCAGACTCCTTGGCATTGCTAGGAAGCAGCAGAGCAGGCCTGAGCTCAGTCCTCCCCAGGCTCTTCTTGTAGGACAGAGTGAGGAAACAAGTCTCTCCTCAGGTGGGACAACTGCTGAGTTTAGATGATATCCGAGATCTCTGATGGGTTTGCTTTTCTGAAAGAGGGAATTCAAGCCTAAATCCACTGGCAGAGATGCACAAACTTTTAAAAACGAAGCTGAAGTTCTTCCTTTCCTTCTCTCTCCCCCAACTCTAGTAAGAGGAATTCAGAGTCTGGAAACCCTGGGAATCTGAAGGACACCTGTAGCTCTTCTCTGGGGTCACAGCTCCCTCTGCAGCCAACTCAGCTGCACCAGTAACACCAGACACTGAAGTCTCTCCATGAATCCTGTGCTGTGAACCATACGGGATAGACCAAGTCCTCACAGAAAATCCCAAGGAGAGCACCAGTTAGGGTGTGAGCCAGAGCTCAGCAAGGACAGCACAGGGGTCTCCAACTCACTGGAAATCATTCACTTGGATCCATGTCCTCCCCAAGAGCTGGATTAGTGCCAGGGTTATATAAAGGCTTGGGAAGAGATGCAGGAATCAGGATACTCAAAGTCACCCACTAAGCAGGGCTGGGAGTCTGTCCTCAAGTCTCCCCCCTCATCAAAATTCTTGGTGTCGTGGTCAAACCAGAGGATTTGTCTGTCTCCTGGTGGGAAGCACAGCCCAGACACCTCACCCCACCACCAAGGGTTCAGGATCAACGCAATAACCCGGCTCAAACCTCACCTTGTTCAAAAAGCATACAAACAGCTCAAGAAAACATGCAGGCAGAGGAAGAAGCACCAAACAGGGTAGAAGGAGCCATGAGTACTTGTCAGTCAAGACTTTGGTGCTGTTTTGGCACTTTTTTTGGGTGGAAAGGGGAATAGAAAAGAGCTGATGTTTTGCACTGGGGTGTTTGATGACACACCCACCACCACTTTCTGAGCAGCAGAAATAACACAACACAGCCCTCAAGTGCAATTCGGTTCTGATTTATTCTGTATTTCGAAAAATAGATTCTGAAAGCAAAAGGATCTCTCAGAAAGCAAGAAAAAACATTGTCAAGGGCGAGAGGATCCTCTCAGTGCACAAACCTCCACCCCACCGTGTCCCAGGGAGCATCCAACCATCTCCTCGAGCTGGCAGCAGCAAAAGGCACCTTTTCCCAGTCCCACCAGTCTCCAAGGAGGGTTCCCTCACTTCACACAGCCTTGGATCAGTTGTGCAAGGCCAATGGGAGGCTGGTTCATTGGCCCAGTACCTCCCAAGCCCATCAGACACTTCTGCCAGTGCTCGGTCAGGTAGGATGCCACAGTAAGACATGTTTGAGGAACTCCACCAGCAATGACACTCCTGCCCACAAATCCCATTTTTCTACATGAGTAATTGCTGCTTTCCCTTTCTGTAGTTCCTTACACCATTGATTCTGCTGGTACCAACACGCCCATCTTTATCAGCTCTACTAATAACTTCCCATGTCAGGCTTGCGTGTGAAACTCTAGATTCCTTTTTTTTTTTTTTTTTTCATAGAAAAGGAAGTTGGGAACGCTGGAAATTCTTGCATAAAACCTCACGTTAGTGTAGCATCTTTCCAAAGGTGTGTCACGTGGGAAACTTTTAAGAAACAAGAAAAAAAAAACATCAAGGAAATTCAAGGTGCTCTTTCAAGACCTTAACTCCTCGATTTCTCTAAGATATCCACAGCAAATCTGGTTTTCTAGATTAGGTTTTCTTTGCCGTCCAACCTCAGTGCAATTATTCTGTATTAGCATAGAACGATTTTGCGATGCAGCATTTGGCTGAGTTACCACTACAGAGGCCAACAAAGCACAGGGAATTCTGCCTGCCCAGGCAGGGTCTGCAGTCTCCCCCCCAGAGAAGCTCATTCTCAGGTGCTTGCTCTCCATCCTGCCCTTCACAGGGTCTTCTACAGGTTAATTCTTTCCCCCTGCACAAGCCGAGCTCGGAAGTTCCAGATATCCTTCAAAACAAAAAATGAGACAAGGCAAAAGCCCTGAGGATCAACAAAAACAGTGACCAGGATTCCAGTTTACAGAGATGGAAATAGAGGATTACTTCGTCCTTAGCATCTTGTGAAGGTGAAATAAGAGCTGGGCACTCCCCCAGGACAAAGTTCCAACTCTGGTTAAAAAACCAAAAAGCTTAAAGCTACATGAAAGCACAGACTCTTCCCTGAGGCTTGTATGGCCACAACCTCTTTGCCACTCAGGAGAAGGAGAGAGCCTCACCATGTATCAGTCTGGATTGTGTCCCTAATTAACCCCAGGAACCGAAAGCCAAGCACGCTGTGACTTTACAGACCTGTAAGATGAGGCAAAGCACAGCTGGGCACCTCACCATACCGAGGCACACTGGGGGAAAAGAAGCAGAACAGAACAAAAACCGCAAAAAGTGAAAAAGAAAGTCCTCTCTCGTCCAGAAAGCCCTAGATACCGTAAAATATGTAGATTTTAAAAGACAATTGCTGCCTATTACATCTAGACTTCACTATTTCGACACTGGCTGTGCACGTTAGGGAACTGCTGTGGATTAAGAAATACAGAACACTTTCACCACAGTAACAAGGTTTATTTTTCTTTCAGTGGCTGGATCCCCGAAGAATTTAGATTTGCTTTCTGGTTTACTCAATGGTTTCAGTTATTCAGCCAGAGTCCATTAGTCCCCTATTTTATTTTTCTTTGAGGCAGATGTGTATCACTGCGGACAAACCCAGCGTAGCCTCAAGTCTAAACAACTGATGTGGGATTATATTTAACAAAAAAAATAAACAAAAAAAAAATCAGTCTGTTACTGCAGTCAGATGTGGCTACCTGTTTTAAAAGGAAAATCCACCCATCGTTGGGTGGGGAAACTGGAAGAACCGTGGACATACAAACCGGGCAAGCACTGGATTTATTGCACCTTCTTATACTTGCAAACTCAGGGCAAACAACCACATCTTTTTGTTCACACTGTGCAGTCTGAATATAACAGCAAAGAGCTCTAGTTCAGAGAGACTGCCCATAATAAACCATGAACCAGGAGATGCAGTGAAGGGCAAAGCTGGCAACGACTTCACCCTAATCCTGTCCCAGTGGGATGACATGGTTGGACTTAATGATCATAAAGGTCTTTTCCAACCTTAATTCTATGATTGTATGAAGTCTAGACCCTCTCAAATGCTGTAAAAGTGTGTGTGAGTAGCCCCAGAGCTGAGCCATCACAACAGCAGGGGCTGAGGATCCTCCTTGCTTTTGCTACAACAAAATGCTGATCTAATCTCCACCAACTCAGCCACCCTGGAAAGGATCCAGGTGCTCAAAAAACCCATTTTGACAAGCAGAGCTGGAGGAGGAACTTCTAGAGCTCAAGGGATGTGAAAGAGCTGCCAGAGAGCAAGGCCATTTCTCCAGCGTAGCAAGAAGCAGCATTATGAGGAAAAAGGCCCCCAAAAACCCTGCAAGTCATCTGAAAGGCAGGTCTTTTATCCTGCCAAGCACCTCTGCTTGGCACAGCCTGACCTGCCAAACTGGGCATAGGAAAGAGCACAAATGTGCCACAGGAGACTTGGGAAAGAGAACTGGCCTGGTTTGTAACAAAGGGTGCTGAGCCAAGTCTTACCTTGAGCTCCACGGAAGTCGCGTTGTATTTCTTGCGGACCATTTCTTCCAGTTCCTTCTCCAGGTGCTCCTGAGTCGTGTTCTTGACATCAATGTAGTAGCACTCTGAGCTGGCAAAGTGACAGCTTATGCTCTGTGTGAGGAAATGGGGCATCATCACTCACTGTCACATGGATTACAAAGGACCGCTGGATCCCAGATTGCGGACACCTCGTTCCTTCCCTACAGATCACGTCAGCAAATCCCTTCCTCCTCTCAGAGCCCTCCTTCTCTCCTGGGAGTATCCCCTTGGAGAAATACTCTTGCTTGCTGACATGCTCTTATTCCTAGCCTTCTCTCCCAAACAGTCTCCCAGCATGAGCTGCAGTGCCTGACCTCAAAACATCAGCAACTAGAGCGGGAATAGGGGAAGTCAGGGCTGGAGCAGACCCATGTGTTCAGTGAGGGTTCTTCCTGCACCCAGTCAGTCACAACAACCCACTCATTCTGAAATCACCAATAAGCTGCTACTGGGGCTGGAAGAACAGGCCACGTAGTAGGTAAAACAAAATAAAAGCAGAGCACTCTGTGTTGCGGTGCCTGGGTGAATCCCTTCTGAGGCCTCCAAAGGAGGCCTGAGTAAAATAATCATGATAAAAAAATAAAACGCGTAATCAAATTGCATATAGAAAAAATGGGTTGTGTTATCACATAAATAAACATTATTTATTGGATAATGGAGGATCCTGTTATCCAGAGATAAAATACCACCAAGGCAGGGGGAAGAAAGAGAAGCTCCAGATATTTGGGACTGCTGAAAAGGACCTATTCGAAAAGCAAGTACAGCCAGCCAGGCTTCCAACATAGATTCAATACCTAATTTTTATTGCTGCTCTGTTTTTCTCAAGCAGATGCACAGCATGCTCTGCTTCCAGAAGACACAGATGTTTAAAAACAAAAAAAAATATCAAAAAATTGTAAAAAGAGAGTGCAAAAGTATATTAGGAAGATAAAACCTCATTAAAACATTCATTCACATATTCATGAGCTTGTGAAGGCAGGGTAGTTTGGTCAGGTTTTTTTTTTTAAATCAGAAATATAAAAAAAATCGTATCAAGAGATGATTTCCTACCTTTCGGAAACCTGACGTCCTGTTTATCCCAGAGCCGTGAATGAGCAGGGGATGGAAGAACACCGTGTCCCCCTTCTCCATGACAAGGTGAACCTTGGGAGTCTTCTCATCCTCATCAAGCAGCCCATGGAAAAGTTTGTTGGTTTTACCCTAGGGAAAAAAGGCTGAACTGAAGCCACTCAGTTAAAACTCGTGCTGGTGCTCAGCACGAGGGGCAGCAGGGACAGCTACGGACCTGCTTCCCCCTGGGCAGTGTATTCCATGTGCCAAACTGAAAGCCTGCCTATTTGCCCACTAAGTCTTTCTACTTCAAGCCTGAGGTACAAAAAAATAATACTTTTTGTATCTTCTGCGGCTGGATTTGGACAATTAAGATTTCTCAGCTGGGGAGAATACAGAAGAGCACCGGGGAATCCCACTAGTGTGGCTTGATGCCACTGCCAGGGTCCACAATTGTGCTCCCAGTATAAATATCACCAACTCCAGGTCAGGTCAGGAGACATCCATTCTTAAGAGGAAGACAGTACTTGATATTTAATTGCATCCAGCTGCTTACTATCCAATTTCTCCTCTCTGGGACAGTGCATGTGCTACCAGGAAAGAACAAATCCACAGGAGACAGAGCCCTCAGACTTGGCAGGGGCAGTGGAAAATAGTGTGTTTATGCTGTTATGCCATGGCATGTTGGACATTTTCTAGGTGAAGGTGGGAACAGAGGCAAGCAAATCTACCCAGGTCACATGGAGTGAGGCCAACCAAGCAACTCTCTCCCGAAAGAACATCAGTATTTGCACAAGCAGAAAAAAAATAGAAATCCCTGAAAACCTCAGCTTTGACCTGCACGTCCTGTCCCCACAGTGAGCTCTTCCCAGCCCTTTCCAAGCCCTCTGTGACACTGTACCTCCCACTTGGGATAGCCATGAGGCTTCAGGGTGGTCTTGTGTGTCCCGGGCTGCACGACCAGGCAGCCGTTGTCCTGGTCGGCCCGTTCCATGGCGGTCCAGGCGCACACGATGCGGGACGCGGGCCGGAACGGGAAATAGTGCAGGTCCTGATGCATGGGGTGGAGAAAAGTCTGTTTGTCTGCAACACAGGTTCAAAACCTTCAGCCTCAACAGACGTGACACAGCCTTTCCCTTCCTGTGTAACCGTCGTAACACATCCTGCTGGAGACACTTGGTGCCCTCGGTGTCTGCTCCAGCCCACCACAGCCTTGGACACAAGCGGGGGAACTTCCACCCCACCCCAAAACGGACCACAGTGGCGGCTCTTGGGTCAGCAACGGCACAGGGACACAGTGAAAGCCAGGAGGCTGCTTGGCTGTGACCCCTCAGATGGCTCCTTTCGCTGGCCTTCACCACCAACAACCCCCCGCCGCGTTTTCACCACCAATTTTGGCTGCTCTCCACTTCTGTGAACTTTAGCCAGCACCACGTTGCACAAACCTCCCCAGTACAAAGACTTTCAGACTGTCTGCCATCTGCAGGCACTTGATGTTGCAAGCAGAATCAACCCTGCCTGTGCTGCACCCAGTACATGTTTATTTAGCCTTCTCTTTAAAAAAATGAAGAAAATCTCAATTTATGGACTGCAGCCTCCCCAGACAGTAAACCCAGCACTATTAGCCCTTGCCCTATGGGCTTTCTTCCATGAGGTTTAAACAAAAATAGATTTTTTTTTGAGCTTTGTTTTCCCCCCATGGAAATGGAAACATATCATCCATGCCAAAACAGCCTTTTATATATGATTTATATACTTATTTTGTCATTGATTCTGCTCCTTAAATAGATGCAGTTAGGGTATTTCTGCCTGCCTAGTTTGCCATATTACTTAGTCTTTGCACAGCTCAAAAACTCTCATAAGTTTTCTTCTGTTATCTCATTAAGCCAAGGTAATAAGCTGTTACCAAAACAGCCTTGTAAATTTTCAAAGTTATTTCATTTTAATTTGTCCCTTTTTTTTTTTTTAAACAGCTTTTCTAAAACACTAAGTTCAATTTTCGCCAGATAGACAGCATATGCACAACAGCTTATCTATTTTCCTCTTATCCAAGTTTTCCTTACCAGAATCTGGAAGTTTATTTATCAGCATGGTGTGCATGGCCATGATGTTTGGCCCTGTGAAGCACTCGACGTATTTGAGGACCTACAGGGAAGAAAACATTAGAGAAAAAAATATTAGAAACATGGAAACCAAGAGGAAAGGTGGCTGAGGAAGCACTGGGAGCTGGATACTTGGCTAAGGACTAGGGTACAGGAGAAGGAGATTGGGATGAAGGACAGGAGGCAGGATGTGGCATGGCACACAAACAGGGATGCTGGGAGGAGATCAAGACAGAAGATGGTGCAGCTGGAAGAGGTGGGGGGAAAAAAAGAGGTTTTTCACATAGGCATTAAAGCACAGATACATTCACACAGCTCTTCCACCACCACCCCCTTTGTGATGGGGTTTAACTGTTTTACCTCTGGCAGAGTGCAATATCTGAACAGCTCTTCGTCTTCCTGGAAGTCCTGCACTTTATTAACCACTTTTTCAGACTGACCAAACTGGGATTTCAGGGACTCGTCTTTCATAATCATAGCTCCTGGTGGATTCACCTCTCTTTTACAGATCCTCGTGAATTCCCTCCTGCAGAGCAGAGGGAATGTCCATGTTGGGAGACTCCACCTCCATGCTCCCAGAGCTCCCTGGGGATGCTGCTGCACACAGGACCCCCCAGCTCCTCAGGCAAGTGCCCCGTACCTGAAGCGCTCGATGTCTTCATCAGAAACGAGCTTCTTGACGAGCAGGTACCCGTTGTCTTCATAGAACTGCCTCTGCTGTGTGGTGAGGAGATCATTGTCCAGGGTGTAGCTGAGACACAAAGGAAGCACAGTAAACTACGGTTAAACAGAGGAGACGCCCTTACAAAGTGAAAGGCTGCACAATGCCTATTAATCAACATGTGGGCCAGGGATACAGAACCGAGTTCTGAAAACCTCTGTCTCTACAAAGGAAAACAGGTCTTACCAAAACCTCCCCGAATGAGGAACAGCACTGACTTGGGCAGAAGTAGGAAAGCTTATCTGGGATGGAAGTTAAGGAATATATAATCAGATGAAATAGTACAGAACATCATCTATGCACATGAGTTCTGGACCCCACAGTGCTGTTTGTCTTAAAGGATGGTGCTGTCCTTCATGACATTCAGTTCATGTTCTTGCTTATTTTGCTTCTAAAATAATAAATAATAATAATAAAAATCTGTAATTTAAAAAAAAAAACGAAAATAATAAAACATTAGGGGTGAATCTGGGATTTCACATTCTCATGTGGTCATGCAAACCCTCACCTTTCTCTGTAGTTACTACAGGGATCTGGTCCCTCCCAAGCTTGACAGGGATAGCAGGAAGGGAGGAGAGTTATGGGATTGTCCTCCATCTCAATTCATTTCAGCAGGTTGAATAAACACACTTGTGTTCTCTTATGCAGAGAGACATTCTCATCAACAGGGCAATTAAAAGCCACTTGCTAAAGAAGCCTCACAAGAGCTTTGTGTATGGTAATGAATTGTCATTTGGGGGTAAGGACAAAAAAAGAGCATTTTTGTGCAGATTTCTTGGTCTGCACATGCATCTCTGCTTCAGGTTTTTATGTAAACCACTGACTTACAAATGTGCCATAAAAACATGAATGCTTCAGGAGTAAGAAATAGGTTTCCTCACAACAGCTGTGTTTATGGTCCCCACACCAGGAAGCTTAAACATTACCTGGTCAAGAGTCACATACAGTAGGAGAAGAAACAACAAACACGCAAAAACGTGTGGCAAAAATGATGAGCCAGAGGGAGGAAAAGGGGCTGAGAACTGGATGGAAGAGAGAAGGAAGGAAGAAGACAAGGGGAGACCAAGTGGAAACTACCACAGCAGGTCCCAGAGCAAGGGATTCCCCAACTGAGGGCACTAGTGCTCCACACACCACATTTCAGTGAAAATGGGACTCCTGAGCATTCAGGCTTCCAAATGTCCACAGACAGCTGATGGAGACACAGGCAGTGGCTGAGCCCCAGCTGTGGTGGCCTCCTGAACACCTCCACTTCCCAGAACTGGGGGACAGCAGGCAAGTCCACCGAGTGCTGGACTCCATCTGACACCTTCCTCCCAGGCCTTGCAGTGCCTCTTCCTCTCACTGGTTTTGCCCTTGACACTTTGCAATGCTCCGAGGACAAGTTTGGGTTCCTTGGACAACTGAAACCAAGAGGCACAGGCTGGGCAGGAGCTGCCAGCTCCAGCAGCTCATTTTGGTAAAGGCACATTTAAACTTTCCCCTTTTCCCTCACACAATCCTTTTGGGAGTAACACATTCACAGGCACACTACCCAGCTGTGCAGGCAATGTAGTAACCTGGAGCCACTCAGAAGCAAATAAACACTTTTGGAGACACTACAGCACAGGCACAGCAAGGCTTAACATCCTCAGAAGCTTTTCCAAAGCCCCTCCCTGCAGCACCCCAAGGGAAGCTGCAGACTCCTGCATATCCAGGAGTAACACAATACACCTGTGCAGTTCTCTTAGAGACCACCTCACAGGCCCCTGGTGAGATGGCCCTGGCCTGACAGCCCCAGCTCTGCCAGCAGCACCAGGGTTTGACCTGAAGAAGCCAAACACCCAAATCACTCCAGAGGCGCAGCTGCTTTTCGAATCTCCCGTTTTCCTGCATTTTGAGGAAACCTTCGCTCCTACAGCTGGTGTGCTGATTTTTCACTGGTGTCCCAAGCCAGGCAGTGCCCAAGCTGAATTCACAGCTGCAGCAATGGAGGTCTTCCACAGGCACTTGGGATGTGGGTTTTTCTCAGCTGCCTTATTTTAAGGAGGTAAGTGCTGGTGTTATATACATGTCCCTGGTGCCGACTGGAATTGCTATCGAGACACCTCTCCTTTTGTTAAAGGAGAAGCATTTTCTGTGAGGAAAAGAGACTGTCCTACCCAAATCACCCAAGCCAGAGATTAAAGCAAAACCAGTGCACCGATGCACCATGTATCAAATAAATCTATTCTTATTACAGTCTGTCGTTTACTTTATCTATACACCAAAGGTCTTTGCATCAAGACTTGGATTTAAAAGCAGCTTGTGCAGCACTTCTTCTTACTTCCTCTCTCTTTACAATCAGGGTGTTTTTCCTAGCATTTATTTCTAATTTTGCGTTCCTGCTTGCACCTTTGTGTTATGGCAGTCTGAGTCAACAACTATCCATCTGTCTTCATATTTTTAATATATTTGAAGACTCCTACATCCTGTTTGATCACATCCTTTTCTCCTATTTATTACAGTTCAGAGGTAACTTGTCAGTGTTCAGCTCTCACTGTGGAACAGCACCATTTATTTTTATTTAAAAAAGCAAGATTTATGGCAGCAGTTTTAAAAATACTCTCAGCAAGCAGCCTTTATTTAACGTTTGGAACCCTGGGACAGACCAACACGAAATCTTCTCCCTGCCCTGGTTCCCTTTGTCTGATGTGTCACAAAGCTGGCAGCCTCCAACATTTCCACCTCACATCCCACTGGCAAAACAAACCCTGATGTTTTTTCCTGCTGCTGCTCTACCAGTTAAGTCTGTACCTTTCAAAAAAAAAAAGCCTGAGACCTGCTGTGCAACTCCTAAGTCACGTCAAAACCCTCGGATCTCCAGGAGGAGAAGTCGCTGCAGGGAACTCCTTGCTCAGTGCTGGGGGGGCTGAGCTGGGGGGGTGCCCAGAGGAAACGGATCCTCAAACGCACATCCCGACGGGCTGCAGGGCTGCAGCTCAGGGGGGAAGCACAGGCAGCAGGAGGGTTTTGGGGTGGGACGGGCGCTGACCCCAAAATCCCAGCTGGGGGCTGTCAGGGCAAGGGCGGCGCACAGGGCAGGGCCCCCGGCGCGTCACCACCCCATAACCGGGACACGGGGCAGGGACTCGGCCTGGGTGTCCTTCCCGGGCCCGTGTCCCTGCAGGAGGACCCACGGACCCTTCCCGAGCCCACGGCAGAAAGGATACGGGGGCGGGGGCCGCGCCCAGCCGCGGGCAGAGGTGCCGCAGGACGGTGTCCAGCCGGGCCGCAGAGCGCTTCCCGAGCCGCTCCATGGTGCCCGCAGCGGGGCGGAGCGGGATCCGACCCTGCGCTGGGCAAGGCCGAACCTGGGGTGGGAAGGGCTTATGGAGGCCGGGGAGGCAGCGGGGCCCGTGCCCTGGCGGTGCCCGTGGTGCAGCAAACCCGCGCCCAGGGAGGCTCTGCTCCCCCCACCCCAGGGGCTTGTGCTGGGTGGCCTTTCTGACCACCCTCCCTTTTTGCTGCTTTTTGCGGCTTTTGAGTAAAAGGAGCAAAAAGGTGTTGCAGTGCAGCACCTGGGAAGGAGGGGGAAAAAAGCCTAGAGGAGGAAACCTGGCATAGGGAGAGGGGGGGAGAAGCATTAAAAATGGGCAGCTGCGAATAAAGGTCGCAAAAAAAAAAAAAAGCTGTAGAGACTTGGTATTCCTCTGGGGCTGTGATATGATTAAAAGTGATATATTCAGTATACACTGTCCTAAGCAACTCTCATCTGCCTTAATAAGCACTGTGAGTGCATCAGCAAAGTTGTATCATTTCCAGCAGACTGACACACTTGAGAATATTAAGGGACTGAAAACCACCCCATCACTAAGACCTGCAGCACAGTTCAGAAGATTATTTTCATTCTCTTTTTATGTGTCCCTGATCCCACGGCGCTGTGGAGCTTCACCATTCCTGCAAAATGGCCTTCAGCCCCCCTGTGTCACAGTTGGTGACACTGATGCGGCAGTCAGCTCATTCTTCAAGCCCTACGCCATGAGCAGATGCTGCTGGAAGGTGGGGTATCTCTCTGCTGGAATTTGCTGTGCTTCATCTTTCCCCTGTCCCAAGGAGATTCATGTCTGACCAGGACAGAGCAGAGAGGTGGGGACAGACATTAAGAGCTCTGAGGAGGGTGAAGGTGGGAGGAAGGCATTGTGCTGCCTGCTCCAGGTGCAGCCTTGCAGGCTGCTTTTCCAGCTGCTCTCCCAGGAGATGGAGAAGTTGGGGATCTGGATGACAAAGCCAGGAGAGAGAGAGAGGAATGGTAAACTGAGGGCAGCAAACACCAGTAAACACTGTCATAATATAAACTGCATTGCGCTATGAGGACTGGAAGGGAATTGCTCCAACAATTTGCATTATTTTGCCAACCCAGCATTGAAAACAGATCTCACACCTGCCCCTCACTCATGAGTAATCCAGGCCCTGCTCCCAGAGAGCCACCATCATGAGTCCCCTGTAGCTCCAGGTGGTCTCATGATCACAGGGTGTGCACCAAAACTCTGCTTCACAACTCCTTTAGGAAGCTTAACTCCCATTTTGCAGCAGGTTTTGCTGGAATCCGAGGTGACCTGTTGATGGATCAAAATGTCAGCTGTCAATACACTAAGCCTCATGTTTATTGCTGCAGTTAAACAGAAGCCAAGGCATAGATAGGAAGAGCTCCTGAACATAACCTGTGCCCTAAAAGCTGGTTCCCTTGAAAACTCAATGGCAAAACTCCCAGTGATTGAAGTGAAGATGTACCAGAGCAGGTTTGCATACTCCATTTGTGGCATCTGCTGGTCTGGGGTGCATTCCTGTTTGTGGCTCTCATGATCAGTGGTTCCAAGTCTGCTGTTCATAGAAGTGGGACAAACCAGGTTTAGGAACCCAGAAAAAAACCCTCTCTAAACGATTTTGTGTAGTCACAGAGCCAAGAATACAGGCACTGTGAAGGGACAAGTTGCAGCAGCAGTGACAGCACCCAGCCTGTCACTGCCAAGGAAACCAGACCTTTGACTCCTGAGCTGTAGCAAAACTCTTACTCATAGGTAAACAGAAAGTTAATAAAAGTCCCTCAAATCAAACTTGAGGGGGAACAGAAAAAAAAACCCAAAAACCAAAAAACCCCTGAGTAATAGTTTTATTACTGAAGTCCTAATTATAACTGCACTGAAAGGCCTATGTATAACTCAGATATATGCTGCAATTGCCTTTACAATCCAAACTGAAACAGGAACCTCAATAAATCTTCATCTGTTTCAAAATCTAGGTAAAAGTCCCATCAAAAGGATGAAGCAGAACAATAGTACACATACCTATTCTGGCAGGGACCTGTTTGCAATGTAGGTATTTCTTCCACAGGCATTTGACCTTTTTCATACCTGAAAAAAAATGAACAAGAAGTAGTGATTTGGCTCTACTGATTTAGGAGTTTGAGAACTGAGATGCTTTTATACATACATAATATATCCCTGCATAAATATATATACATATATATCATCATAGAATATCCTGAGCTGGAAGGCACCCACAGGCACAGGAAGGCACAAGGACCATCAGTCCAACTTCTGGCTCTGAACAGGACACCCCAAGAATCACACCAGGTGCCTGAGGGTGTTGTCCAAAGGCTCCTTGAACTCTGTCAGGCCTGGTGCTGTGACCATTTCTCTGGAGAGCCTGTTCCAGTGCCTGACCACCCTCTGAGCGAAGAACCTTTCTCCTAATATGTGCATTTTTAAACAGGAGCTTCAAAAAATTCATCTCTCTGTGCATTGAACACAATTATTCCTTTTTACTTACAGCTTCTCTGCTTATCTTGGTAATACTACCAGTAACTCCCACGTCACTGGAGCACCCTGCTGTGTTATGTCACACCCCAAAATGATTCAGGACACTTCACCCACCTTGGCACTGAGCAGTGTGTAGCTGAGGTGACTGCCCTTTTTTTTGTACCCTCCTGTTAATGCAGCCCAGGATCAAACTTTAACACAGCAGAATACTGATCTCAGGCACTGCTGGCACCACTCAGGGCTGCAGCTCTGGGGACCACAGTGACACGGTGGCTGCTTGTGGTGTAACCACTCACCCTAAAACCAAAAGTGTGTGGACACACGTGAAAAATACCATCCTTTGCATCCAAACAGCCCAAAGTGAGTAATTTTCAAACCATCCATAAGCCCCACTTACCATGGTAAGTACAGGCTGAATCTCATGAACACAGGGAAAGAAACAAGGGAGAAATTTTCTTTGTTAAGAAAGCTGATGGTGGCATTAATCAATTTATTAAAATGGATGGCATTTAAGAGAGGCTGTGTCTTTGCAAAGTACTTTTACAGCTATGTCTGTCAGTTTCCTGAATTTTATAGAACATTTTTATACAGCTGCTTTGCATTTGGCTTTTAGTTTTAATGTTTTCTGTTCATTAAATCACGAAACTAATAAAACCTAAACGATTGAGATTTCTCCAGCAGCACAGGAACGTTCCTAATGCACAGTGTTATAATTTAATAAGCATCTCAATTGACTATTAAAATCCACATTATGATCAGAACTGTAATTCCAAAGATGAGGTCTTCTGAAAGCTTAATTTACTATGGTGGGAAGTGGCAGCTGCTCCAACTCAGCAAAATTAGCTTTTTTAACTGAGATGCCAGGGAAAACAGATGTAGATGAGATAACAACCAGAAAAACAAAATCCACCACCACCGACGCACAGGTTCATTTCTCATCACCAGAATATTCAAGGAGGGATTCTATGGGCACGTTAGCAGTGAAAGGGAAGGAAAGGAAAATATGGATCCAACAGAGAACAAAATAGGGGGACATAGTGACAAATAAAAGGTCAAGGGTCTTGATGACTTCTCTGCCTTGCACTTTTCTCTAGTTCCTGGGCTCTGCTGAATTCCAGGATTCCTTTCCCCTCTTCAAGCAGCAGGCACAGAGGTTGCCAATCACATCTGGTGGCCAGAATATGGATGTGCACCCAGGTGACTCTTCCCAACTGCTCACCAGACCTTCAGTGAAAAATCAGTGAAACACTGAGCATCAGCCATTGAGCCCATCCACTCCCCCACAGTGACTCTCAGGTTTGCTGTCCTCTCACTGCAGCATTCACGCTGATTTTCATAATCTCCTAATTACAAAAGGGTCAGTCCTGAATTTTCAGCAAAACATGAAATCAAAACAATACCTTCAAAAAAAAAAAAATGACAAAACTATTCTTATATACTTTACATATTTATATACTTTATATACTGCTGCAAATTTTAAGAGTGTTACTTTTCCCTGATACAGGAGGTAACAGATACTAACTTTCCAAGAATATATGCTACTTAACAAATACATTGTTCAGGCAAGGGGTTATTTCACTTACTAAATTCTTTCTTTTTAAAGAAAGAATTTTTTTTTTCTTTTTTTTTCACAACTTGGATGGAGTTTTACAGGCAGCCTTCTCATACAGACTGAGGGATGGGAGCTGGTGCACGCAGAGGTACCTGTGTATGGAAAAAGAAAAGTACATTAATTACATTTGTGTAAATGACTGGACATGGCTAATAAAAACAACTGTTCACTGTTGCTTTCTCACAGCTTTTTGATGACAGCATGTCAAAAAACCCCTTCGTTTAAGAGGAAATTTCTTGTGTGTTGCTTAAAGGTGGAGGACTTGGAACTTGCCAGGCCCTTACAACACACTCTCCTACAGCTCATTCCAGGTGTGCAATCTCTGATTTAGCAAAACAAATCATTAAATTTCTTACACAAATCACTGCACTCCCCAAGTGACTGGTGGTGCTCAGAGGACTTCCCAGCCCATCACCCAAGCCAGGAAGCGCTTTGGGATGTAAATTCCAGCCATCGGGAAGCATCAGGAGAGGCTTCTGAGTCAGATCATATGAATAGACCAGCATGGTGAGTGACTGGTTCTTCTCCGGGGTTTAACTTGCATCTGTCTCACAGGAAATCTTCCTCTAAATGTCCAGATGGTTCTTGCTGAGGGCTGTGGATTTCCACTCACCTTTCCACACACCTTTTCCTTGGAGATGAACCTTCTGCTATTCAAGGCACGGCCAGAGGAGGAGAAATGTTGTTTTCACACCTGGCTGATGAACTAACCATTATCGTAACAAGTGAAAAAACCCCACCGGTATCTGCCAGCCAGGACCTTTTCCTGTCGAGGGTGAACTGACACACATCCAGTGCCAGTTTAAAATACAACAGATCTTTGTAAAAACCACTTTCATGCAGAAGTACTCAACTGTTCTGCACCCATTTGATCTACTCAGGTCATTTTATTAGTTAAAAATAAAAACCTTTAAGTAGGGTCTTGTCCATGACCATAAAGAATACGAACAGAAGTCAGCTCCACCGTTTCATATCAGGATACAGAACAAATGTCACGAAACAGCAGGGGGAACAAAAGGAAAATCAATTTTTTTCACAACTGGTTTTTGATGCTTTATTTTCAGAACTGCTGGGAACAACCTAACACCTTTTTCTCCTCAAAGCAGTCAAAAACTTGGTTACTGCTTTGAGGCTTGGTGAACATGCAACTCTTGGACTTCATCTCCAGGAAAAGGTGGGTGAGGGTCCATGTGGCTTAAGCTATTCCCAAGGAGGGGATAATAAAAAGAAAAAAAAATTAAAATTCTAGCTTTGCAAAAGTTTGAGAACCCGAGGTGGAAAAAAGATGAGCCAGGTTTTGCCAGGGATGCCATCAGGAGGAAGACTGGAAATTTAAACCTTGCATGTGCACAAGAGCTCAGCTCCAGTGACTCACTGTTCATAGACAGAAGCCTTTGTAATTCTTGCTGCAGTAACGAATTCCAGAATCTGGGAGAAGCTTCACTAGAGCAGGTCGAGTGCAGTTCAGAAGGAGGGCAGGTGTGTCTGGGCTGAGCAGGGTGAGCTGTGAGGCTGCTGCAATGGGAAGAGATGGGCTCCAGCATCCAGCATTCCAGGACAGGGCTGCTCAGGAGCCCCTGTTTGCTGACAGCAGGCACAGCCAGGAGCGCTTGCAAGAGGAAACAATTCAAAATGTTGCCTACTTGGTGCTGGTGAGTAAAATAAACAAAATAGAGTGGGTAATACACTTGGAGATAACCCACTTGCCCCCAGCTTTACTCAAGGTTACCACTGGACATCACAGCCTGGAGAACTGATTAAAGGAGTGATCACAATTATCAGTATAATCACACATGCAATAGAATAAAAAAATGTGAGGATTTCTCCTTTTTCCAGGGAATAACTCAGCTAGGAATCAAAAGTTCATGCACTTATACAAGAGCAATAAAAAAAATTAAATATTTATTTTGAATAACAAGCTTAAGTTCAAGCTGCAATGTTGGCAATGTTGGTTTTAAACACAGATCACAAAAGCGTGCAGAAAAATGTATTTGAGCAAAGAACAAAATAATACTAAGAATTATACTAAAGAGCTGCTGATTTTTAAAGAAACAAAAAAGGCTTGTAATCACTATACAAAATATAAAATGTATTAAACACTACCATCCACAGAACAGAGGTTTATTTTAGTTTGATTATATTTAAAAATTATTTGTGTAGTTATTTATATAGTGAATTGTAAATGAATATTATACAGTAACCTCCTTTTGGTCTGCAAAACCTTTGTTGCACTATAGCACATCCAATCACGTTGCAAAAGGGAAAAAAAAAAAGAATTATTTGTCCTTACTATCAATTCAGAAAACAATCATTGATAATACAGTAAATATTGTCAGATCTACAAATAATGAAATTTGAAATTACTCCTTCGACTCTGAAGCGCTTTCCATGCAAAAAGTCAGCACTTGCTGTTTAAACTGAGTGCACTACCAAGCAATGTCCAGGGTCGTAGATGCTCTTGGTAAGACTAAACCTTACAAAAACAAACAAAAAAAAATTAAAAAATAAAATAAATCGAAGATTGAATGCAATCATGCAACCATCTTACTACTGGGTAACCCACTGTGTCGCTTGTCAATTTATTGCCTTTCTGGAATATCACTCAAGGCATCAAAATTAGACTCATGATAAATATACACATAATGAAAGGACACCAACTGCTATTTGACACTACTACTGGTAATGTCTGTGCTACGTGAAAGCACCTTTAAAAAGAGCCTATGCGGCAAGAGATAAGTGTCTAAAGATTCAAAATGAATCAACAGTATTGGATAACAATATAATTCTCAACTCAGAAGCTGCCTCAAGATTAGGTGCATCTTCAGTTAATGTAACAGGAAAAAAAGGCAATGGATTTTATTTTATTATTTGTATCCACTCATAAACTGACCTAAGGCCACCAGATGTGCAGACACAACAAGTTTTCTTTTCTTTTCTTTTTTTTTTTTTTACAGTTCTTTAAATTGTAGGATGATAAAGGAATAGATCTATTCAAAAAACAAACAGCTATTTGATCTCTATTAAGAGGTGGCACCGGGCGTGGGGTTCACGTTCTGAGTGGCCACCTGCGGTGCCACCTCAATGATCCGTGGCTTGTCTATAATCCTGGCCGTGCGGTTGCCCTTCTCCACGATCCCGATAATCCACGCCTGGTGCCCTTCGCCGTATTTCGGAGACTTGATCTCGGCGCAGAACCGCGCCGCCTGCTCCCGTGGTAAGCAGATGAGGAGGCCTCCTGGGAAGAGAGGGAGAGCAGAGCATCAGACATCTGTCTGCAAAGCGTTTCAGACCTGCATCTGCCAAAGCCCCACTTGGACGAGCCCTTGGTGACTTCAGTGGAGTCTGATGAAATCCAGCGATTCCAAGAGAAGACACCATGGAAGTCCAAGCTCTTGCTTTGCAGCAAGAGGTTTGTGCCTGAATTCAGCGTTTAGTTTTGTATAAATGAAGCCAAATACACACAAAAGATGCTGGCAAAAGGACGTGGTACTGATGCCAACAAATGACATACTGAAACAACCCCAGCATTGTAACCTTCCACAGAGGACTGCAACGTGCCTCTACACAGAAACATTTTGGGTAAAGGTCATGTGCAGATACCTGTAACCACATATTGGTGGCAGCTGATTCTGTGAGTAATCCCATGGCCTGCAATGAAATCATTCATCAAAGCAGGGACCACTGCCCTGCTGAGAATGCGAGAGGCAGAACATTAAGTACAGGCTTGATCCAGTGCTCCCTGTGACAGTCCTTGTGACCCCTTTGTTTGGGAGATTTTTTAGCCTTCCATTTAAGTTTTTTTTTCCTCAGGCACAAGTGAAAATATTTCATTTACTAACAAATGTGCTCAGAAGCAGCACAATTAACTAGTTAGCAAGCTCACCATTCCATGATTAAACCTCAGAGCACTTCCATTCTAAGAATCCCAAAGCACTGAAAAAGGCGGCTTAGCAAGTGAATTGAAAATGTCTGGAGAACACAGGCAAGAGAGCAGATTCACACAAATGGGAATTCAGGAACATGCTGAGGCTCACTTACTCCTAAAGGGTAATTTGACCCATGCCACTGACTCTGGCCAACCCTGGGGCAAAGGGCCACCTGCTGAGCAGGCCACCCTGGGCTTGGTGCCATCTCCTGCTCCATAGCCCCCGGACAGGCCCTTGGCACCTTTATGTTTGACCTTGGCCACCTTTATGTTTGCTTTTCCAAGCACACGCTCAGTCCTCTCTCTCAGTGGTGACTAAAGCTATTTTTAATTTGAGGCCATGACAAAGAAGCAGCTACTGAACATGAGAAATCAGTTATAGGGATAAATGGAAGAGCAAAAGCAATTTTTTCAATTCTATGCGAAGGAAACAAGTGTGCCAGCCAGAAAATGATGCCCACCTCTCTGACATTTCAAAAATAACATCCAGGTACTACCACCAAACCCAACAACAACAAAAAAACATAAGCTTGAATGACAGCGCTTAAAACTACTCCAGATGGAACAGACAAATCAATTGCAAAGGAATTATGTGACATTCCCATGGAAGGCTCTAAATCAAATTGAAGAGAAACTTACATTGTGATGCAAGTCAGGGAAGAGGTTTACAAGAGATAATGCAGAGAATGTACTAACCAGCCAGAAGGGAGGTGTACAAGTATGGCAAAAAAAGGAAATAAGAAAGAGCACAAAAGTAATCTTCACTCAGTTATCTTTTCAACACGCACTCTGTTTCTGGAATTTTGTATCACTTTTACCTCATTCTTTGGCAAGATCAAACACAAGTACAAAATCCTTGTTTCCAGAGAAAAATCGCTTCCCACCTGCTGGCAGCTTCCCACAGTTTGATCAATAACCCTTAATAAATGCTATGGGCTACTCTCAGCCAGCAGCAGGTTTCCTGCATGCAGGGGTTATATTTATTCCTCTGCTGAGGAGACTGACCAGTCTCATTATCCTTGGCTAAGACCTTAAGGTTCCCTACTATTTATTCTAGTCCAGTTTGTTATTGGCATTCCCAGCTGCTCTGGTTTTGGGGAGTTGAAAGGATCCAGATACTTGGTATCTGTCCTGGCTTATATTTTTAGAAATGAAAGGCTTTTTTTTTTTTTTTTTTTTTGGTAAGAGGTTTTGAACAGCGCTTGTTTTAATAGTATTGCAAGCAGAGAAGTGGACAGAGAACACTTCAAAAGCAGGCTAGACAAAGCTTTGCAATTAAGAGCAGAGATACAAACAGTTCATGAATCAAAACCAAGTGTCCTTTCCCCTGCTAATGGCTTTCTCCCACAATGAGCTGGATGAGATCGTTAGCCCTGCCTCTCATCAGGCACTGACACAGCCCTTCTTTTCTACCCATCTGCCTATTTCCACCAAACGTGCACAAACACCAAGATGCTGAGATACCTCTACTACAGCTAAAAAAAGTCATCTGACGCCAGCCAGAAGCTATTAGAACAGGGCTGGCAAAAATACATGCATGAATGTCCCATAGAGAGTAACTCTGTGACTTATCTCTGTAAGCAGCCACTCTTAACAGAGTTAATTCTTTGGAAACCAACTGCCTGACTGCAACTTTAACCACCACCAGCAAAGAATTACCTAAAAGAGAGCCCAAAATCGTGTAAAGTGCAATTTTAAGAAAATACACCATAAGCAAGAGTGCCTGTGGGATGGAAGAGATGACGTAACAGATCTTTTCAACACTGACTTTTGTCAACAGGTGGCCAGCAAATGCACACAGGAAAAAAACCCCACAATAACCTTAAAATCCATTCAAATAGTTTTCCAGTAAATTTCTCATTGCCTGCCCAGTCTGCTGAAAAACATCTGTTCTCAGATGAAGAAGCGACAGACAGAGCGTGTCTGGAAGTTCACGCCAATAGAGAAGGAGAGTGCCTGCGTTACAGTATGAACAGCCCCGAGCAGCCCCCGACAGGCTTCCCCACAGCTGGAGATCAGGCACAGGGAGGCAGAGCCAGGCCTTCACATAAATCAACCCCAGGACTCGAGGTGTGCAGACAGCCTGGGTCTGAAGGAGCCATCCCAGCACAGCCTGCCCGAGCTCACGCACCGCTGAGACACGTCAGGCTGTGCAGTGCAAGCCCAGGGCCTGTGTGACTGTGGTTACACAGCTTTCAGGGCAGGGCTGGTGTGTCCACGTGGCTACAGATCTTCTGAATATCTGGCAGACGCTGCCCTCTCACAAATCCCTGTGGCCGCCTCTAACGCGAGAAACCCAGTGCTGTGATGAAATCAGACAAGTTCTGAGGCACCCACAGCTCGCAGCCAGCCAGATAGGTCTCGCTGGTTTTTCCATCATCATCCATCTCTGCTGAACACAGACCGCTCAGCATTTCAAAGACAGTTCTTGCTCTCAGTCCCAAAAGAGATTCTGGAGTCAAGCGTTTCCCACTTCCCAGCAGTGCATCCATCTGCACTGCTTCACATTCCCTCAGTGAAAAGACAGAACTGGGTATCCCCAGGGAGCAGGATGGGAAGCTCTGATGACTTTGCAGCTAAACCATTTCCACACCAATTGCTATCCAAATCTCTGCTACAGCCACTCACCTGAAAGAGCACCTTGCAGTTCCAGGTCTTTCTGGATTCATGCATTCTGTTCCCACAACCTTTTGGACTCTTTCCAACTGATAACAAATGCTACCATTTGCATTCAGGCTAGGTGGGCTCCTGGGTACTGAGAATCTGTCTGGTGCTACCAACCTTACTGACCCATCTTGCCAAGCTGCCACCAGGTATTTCTGGCCCCTTACTGATGCTGGATTCTTGAGTTCTTGAAAGGCTTTATATCCCATATCCTATTACACATCACCTGAGCCACACGGTCTCTGTAGGACAGAGTGTCTGCTCAAACACAGATGGCCAAGGGACAATTCAGATCAGGGTTAAGTTGTGTATTCACCAGAGCAAAAGTTTATGGCTCTCACTGCGATGCTTCTTTCCAGATCTTTGGACTGTTTAGCCTCAAGGGGCCCCCTCTGTTGTGAACTGAAGAGAACTTGGATACTTTTGGAGAGTTGGAAGAGGGTGGAGAAATGAGGCAAGAGAAAAATACAGATTAGGTGCTACATCTTCTCCATTTCCCAAAGAGAAAGAGAAGTCAGATTAAATTAGAAAAAATACAATGGAACAGGACAGAAGATTCAAGGGGAAAGTGAAGCAGAGAGACTTCCAGCAGAGGACAGTGACCGTGCTCAGAGAAGTGGCCTATTCTTGAAAAGCAACTTAAAAAACATCAGAAGTTCTTATCACCTGATGACTCTAAGTGTTTGCCCACAGCCAGATGCTCAGTACAATCAGTATTCACTGTCACTGCAAGTGGCAGCTTTATTAAGCAGGCAACTCAAGTAATGAAGGGGTCAGAGACCAATTTATTTTTTTCCCTGCTAGTCACAGTCCTTTAAAGTCCAATTTCATAAAAGTAAGGGAAAAAACCTGTATTCTTGGATGTCTGTATGCCGGGGACAGATAAGGTCTCACTCACAAAGACTGGCCCCATTCATCACTCAACTTCACAGATTTTCATAGTAACAAACCTAAAATTATCACAAACCTCTAACTGCAAACTGTAGGGTCCCAGGGATTCTACAGCAGTGTTCCATGAGGAAGTAGAAGGCATTCAGAACAGGATGGTGGTTTGGAAGTCGGGCTGAAGAAGTCAGTTGTGAACAGCTGTGTGGCTGATGCTCATTAGCCTGGCTACCTGCCAAGCCAACTGTGCCGCTGAATGCACAGGGCACACGATTTGTACACTTGATATTAAATTCTGAGGTGGAGGCGCAGGGAAGGAAGAGGGTGGCACAACTGTCACCTACCTGAAGTCTCTGGACAAGTGCCGTGCATGAGGCCAAACATGTTCCCACAAGCCTTGCTGACAGCAGCCATCTTGGCAAGAACAGGAAGGTTGTGGATCACAAAGGACACCTCGTTTCGCTGCTGCTTGGCAAGGTTCTGTGCGTGCCCCAGGATCCCAAATCCTGTGATGTCTGTAGCTGCGTGTGCATTGAAAGTGTGCATGAGTCCAGCAGCTACAAGAGAAGGAGGGGAAAAAAGAAAAATCAGAAAAAACCCCAAATTATGAGGAAAAACACTGCTCCAGCAATCCTGTTCACAGTCTGAATATAGTTGAATACCTTTAATCCAAATTGGGCTGGGTTAAATTAATGAAATAAATAAAATCATGATTGAAGAGAACTGGAATTCACCAATAATGCATGTAACACTTAAAAAGATTCAACTTGTATATAAGATATTAAATCATGCTGAAAATCTGTCATCAAAGCTGCATTTATGGGCATGCTCTATTAGACATGTGCTACTAATTTATACTGGCAGTCTGAGAAGCAGGGGTTTGCTTCAGATTCAAACCCAGCTGAGGGCCAGAGAGGTTCTGAGCTCAGCTTTGCTTTACTAAAGGCAAGGACGAGACACAGGTCAGTCTTCTCACATCTCTTCCTCAGCCACTTGGGAACTGGTGACATCAGAACTTAAGTGCTGGACACTCAAAAGTTTAAGAGCTTAAGAACAAAGCCTGCAGGCTGTGGGGGAAGGGCCCCAGCCTCCCCACCTATGCATTCATGAAATTCCTGCACATTGGGAACTCCTGGGTGGGGAAAAAGGGCACCTCTGCATGCAGGACAATAGCCCAGCTAAGAATATTTAAGTGTTGTTAAAGGTGCCTGATGAGAGAGTGGAAAAAAAACAAAACCAAGAATGCTTTGCCCTTCTCTGGTGCTTCCCAATACATGAGCAGGACTGAGGTTTTTTCCATAAGACAAACCCCGGTCATTTATTTTTCCTGGAAGAATAAAAAAACAGTGGGATGACCTAAGAAATGAAAGCTGAATGGGAAAAGAGGTATTTAACTATCCCTGTTCCTTCAAGTGAGAAGTAAGTAAGAAAACACATAATTCTGTACTCTGTCAAAGATACTTTGAACAAATAAGGGAAATCCTGAAATAAAATTTCTAGAGTTAAAGCAGAACCTTCCCTCAACCAAAATTAAGAAGAAAAAAAAAAAACAAATCAACACACAAAACCAGGAAAAAGACAAACAAACAGAAAAGAGAGCATGTGTTACACATTCCACGCTTTGGTAAGCACAGAACACGATTAAATTAAAAAAGCCAAAATTTAAACTGAAGGTTACATAAAGTAAGAGCTTTTCCTTTTTTATTCTATTTCAAATTCTTTTAACCTTATCAGTGTCAGGCCTTCTCTATGCACAGAAGATAAGGAACAAATCCAATATGTGTCCCTTGAAAGCATTCTCTAACTCTCTGGGATGTTACCTGCAGCACTCACACGAGTCATAATCATCATAATCGTATCCAGCAGCTTTGTGTTTCTGCCGTGCAATTAAAAGGGGGCATTTGATTTTAATTTGCTTATTTCACAAACACCGAACAAGCAAAAAGATGGGGCAGAAGGAAGGGATGAAGCGGTTGTGTCACTTCCCCGTGGCAGTGAAATGAAATCTCTTGTGGAACTGGAAAAAAACACAACCCCCTTCCCCTTCTCACCTGTTCTGTTCAGCCGTGCCATGTTCATCATTGCCTCCTGGTATGCGAGTTCCACATCCTCTTGCGTTACCACAAGCTTGATTTTATTCCACTTTTCAGGCTATAGGATAAAATAGAGATGATTTTTTATAGATTTTCAGCTTTATATTTTAAAGCATACCCTTACCACTTAAAAAAAAAAAAATCCCTAATCAAAAAATGTACTTTTCTTAAAAACTCAGTTAAGGGGGAGGCAAAAGGGTCGACAGTCAGAGGTGTGTGCCTTACTCTGCTGTACCCAAGATCTGTTAGGCACTAAGCACCTCAAACCCTGCTGTCAGCAGCAGAGTGGAGTGGAATAAACTACCCCAGGGCAAAAACTCCTTCAAGGCAACTCTCTGGATTGAATCCCCACAGCCGAATAAATAAACAGAACTTGGCAGCTGGAAGTTGAGATTTGTAATCTCTGGTTTCTTTCTTTTTAAAAGAAAAAAATTCTTGATTTCACACCTGGACACCTTGATCAGGAAACGTCACTGATATCCACCAGTCCAAGTCAGAGGAATGTATGCCAAGGCAGGATATTTTCCCTCTGGTTTAGGATTAAGGCAGTTTCATTAGCCTGCTTTACTGTTTAATGTCAGCATCTCCTTCCACCCATTCTCCAGTGTCTTGTGTGGACTCATGTCTTCATCACATTCCAAGCAATGCTTTTCATCCCAGAAGGGTTTCAGACCAATTTAGGAAGTGGTACCTTTATAAAGGGCAATTGTTTCATTCCAAGCTGAAGTTATTCTAGATCCAGAATGAAACAAAGCAACTATATAACTGTTAAGAGCAACACTACAAACTAGTAAAGTTTGTTTACTGAAAGTAAACAAATACAGGATTTTTTTAAGCCACAATGCCTCCACTGCCATTCTGCAGAGTAAATGCACAGAACAAACCTCTTACTAAACCACAAGGTGGTAGAAATACTAAGAACAGATACATGATGCTACACTGGGGAAGGATCTTGTCTTAATAAATGGACACTGACTTCAAGGGGTGTAAGAGAGAATCCAGAAATGGCAAAAGGGGGAAAGGCTGGTCAGCTGAAATAAATAAATTTGGAAAGAGCAAGGAATGATGGCAGTGGGATCAGAGTTTCTGGAATTAGATTGAACTGGATCTACCAATTAATTAAGAAAAGCATTTTTGCTTACATAAGCGAGAGACCTTGTCAAAAAAATAAAATGGGACTTTTACAGAGATGACAGAACAGTGATTATTCTTACTCTGGGTATGACTGAAAAACTTGAGCAATCATTCTGCTTTAGTTTCCAAAAACAAAGTTCTGAAGCTGACCATGGAATGGAAACCAGTCAGATGATGGGAATGGAAATCAGGAACTATGGGGAAGCAGAACTCAAGGCTGAGGCTGTAAGAGCCACAAACACAGGTAGGATACAAAGAGGCAAATTCCTCTCCGCTACAGCAATCAAATACTGGGGTTAGTCAACAGAGAACAAAGGCAGAAAAGTTTCCAAAAACTCCCAAACAAGTTTTAAAGGCAAGCTTAGATTTCCAAATTAAAGGGTCTGTAGACAACAGCAAGGGCCAGAAAACTCTCTCTGAAGGGGCACATCACAGCAACAGCTCTCATGCATTTAAAAGAGGAAAAAGCAAAGGGATGGCAGTTCCCAGCTGTGGAGCAGCCCGGCTGCCAGAGCCACAGCCAATGGCTCCATCACCCCTGGCACATCCCTGACCTGATCTGGGGGCCCCATGGAGCCCGGCTCCCTGCAGGATCTGCAGTCTCTTCCCAGAAACACAGCTGGGACTGGCTGCAGCAGTGCTGGCAGCAACCAAGCAAGAAGGCCAAATTTCACCTCCATCTGGATCTTCCTTTCACTTGTCACCAGGAACTTGCTCACTTCTGCTCTGTTTAAATACCTCAGCTTTTAGGTTGTTGGGGTTTTTCTTAATTTATGTTTCAGCCACATATCTCTACACTCCAGTTTTCCTTTCTTCCTTATGCATAAACCTGATGTACTATAGCTTCTCCCACACACTTTTTATTACAAAGTCCAATTCCCCACCAAAATTTCATTTACAGGTGGATTTGTGACAGGTAATTCTAGTTTCCCTTTCCCTACTCTTTCACTAAACAAATCTAAAGAAAAGGCAGCACAGCTAGTCAGAAATTTTCCTACCACAACTGAAGTTATATATTGTTTACACATAACAGGAAGATTGATTTCCTTGCTGCCCTCGTTTTTCAGACTAGAGAGTGTTCCTGTTTGACAGTCAAGGAAATTAGTAGTATTTGAAATATGTGGAAATTCAGAATATCCTTAATTTACAAGTCTGCTCATCAGTCCAATAACAGATACGTTATGAAGTAAGATTATGGCCAGAAAACATACTATAAAACTGGTGTCTTGTTTTACTTCATTTTCATTTCAAGATTATCTGAGGCCCTGATCCTTATATCTGTTTGGAAAAAACCACAGGATTCTGAAGAGGTCAGAATTGCTAGGCCAGATCCTACGAAGAAGGAGAAAAATATTCTTCTCTTGTTGCTCACGCTTCAGACTCCAACGAAGGTTTAAGCTGGTTCTCTCCCACTTTTCTAACACTAGCTGAGTAATTAGAATTCATCTGACAATGCAGTGGCCAACAGCCAAACCAAAGTAGATTCCAGCTCACTCCTCTGCCAGTCTATTGGCTCAGTAGTCCCAAAAGTAGAAAAGATGCATCTTTTTGAAGTGTAAACTGAGCAGTTATAATTCTGAAGACACATACTGGGAGCCAGACAACATAAGCAGATGCCAATTTTGCAGTCACTTTTCAGTTCACTAGTTACATTTTTGCCTGAAGTAACAGATGGAAGTGTGTCTACATACATAATGCTGCTAGAAATATTCTTATTGAATGCACAGGGCAATGCATGTGAAACGTAGATATATCTCCATGTACACAAGCAGAAAGCCCAAGAGCACAGACAGCACTCTTGGCCTAATTGCCATCAATAAGTGTTGCCAATTACTTTGGCAGGTGGAGAAGGGAATAATTTTACCCAGGGTGCTAGTCTGTTGTTCTGTTAGTAAACAATTTTATTACAGCAATGCCTGAGAAATAACTAAAAATTAGGTGCAATTAAGAAGGGCTCACTAAGCACAAAATATTAAACTGCCTTGATTCTGATAGTTTTGCATGTAAGCAGGGAAAGCTGAGATACCGAGGAGGAAGAAGGAGAGAGAGGTGATAGATCACTCCCATCTGAGCTGAACTTTGTCATTTTGAAGGAGTAAGGAGGGTGACCTTTAACTCACAACCCTCTTCCCTGTTTCTTTTTTTGCACTGTACTCACAATATCTAGCCACTGGTGCACAGCTACAGCCACTTGCGTTCCCAAGGGTTTAGTTAATACAAGCACATCTCCTGGCACTGCATTGTCTGGCCTGAAAACAAAGAATTCATATATTAATTACATAGCAAGACTCACAAACGTCATTAGGAATGAGTGCTGATAATTATGTTTTCACAGACCCATGTATCTTGTTGCACAGTTAAAAAACTGACTAATTGCAGAATTACCCTTTGGGATTCATTGCCATGCAATATTATTGAGCAAAGTGCTGCAAACTTATTTAAAAGTGCTAATCCTTCTTTCTCAGAATAGAACAATGCTTGCAGTCAGATACACACCAAATTACATCTTTTCTTTCAATTTACTGGAGACATAAACGAGGATAGGGGGAAAAATTGACCTTTGTTACCCAGGGCATAAGATACCCAACATTTGGATCATGAACAAATTCATTTGTACAGTATAACGTGCCACAGAGGGACACTGAAGATCAGCTTCAGTTAGATGGACAGAGTGCTGTAAATACAACAATTCTGCAGTTTTCTACAGCCATTAACAGGGTAATTGGGAGATGGCTTAGAAACTTATGTATAAATGTGGCAGACATTTATGTTCAAAACAGTCTCCAATATCTTTGAAGATTAGAAGTTTAACTCTCCTGTCAAAAGGAGAATAGAATCAAAAGGTACTGGGGGGGCAGAGAAAAGTAAGAGGACATCCTGTTTAAAAATAGCAAATAGGTACAAAAGAGATGTGGCACCTGTTGAGTGCTAAGGACAAATGCAAGCAGGAGAAGGTACTGCTTTATTCATCACAGACACCACAACATCACAACACGGTGCTTACAGGATTTTTACTGTATCCCTTCAGATCAGTGCTTTTGGTTGTTTAGTGATTAAACTTACATTATAAATTCATTAGGCTGACAGACTGTCGTGGCCACTCCTCCTAAAACAATCCAGGGATTTAACACTGTTTGGCCACCAGTAACAGATGTTCCTGCCTCTTCTGCTGCATCTTTGAAACCCTGGATAATTAGAGGCATCACTTTGTCTCTTTCCTAGAGATCAAAACAGAAGTCAGAGTTCCATACACAGCAGTGCTCATCATTTCAAGACTGGTGCAGGGCTTTAACCACTCAAGCCAAATGCCCTCATGGCAAACAGTTCAAGGCAGACAAGCCAGCCTTAGGAAGAGTCTGGCCTCCTGAAAACTGCACATTATCCCACAGAGTTATGGTTTGACAGCTCTGTGTGAAAGAAGGGGAAAGACACTTTAACACTGAAGAAACTTTCTTCAAAAGGTCATGTAAAAGTAACCAGAGTTCTGGGAACTCAGGACAAGTTCTGAGCTGCTCTAATCAGGTACAGCCACAGCAGTGCAGTGTAATAAGGCCAAGTTAAATCAAGATGCATTTGGCCCCCACTAACCAGCAAAGTTTCAACTTACATCCTTCTAAGAATAAACATCCCTTTTTTTGCTGCAGCAAAACAAACATACATGCTCATGGTCACTTTCACCAGAAAAAAAAAATTTAAAAATACATAAAAAATAAAAAGAAAGTAAAACCAACCAAGGACTATCTATGAATTGGCAATCAAACGCTGGCCTTGGAGCAGTATTGTCCTGAACTGATAGAAGAAGGGACCCCATTTTGGTGGGGATGAAGGCAGCAGATTACAATGCCCCAGGAAAATGAACTTTTAGCACCTGACCGACTCAGAATGTTCACGAGGCAAGAGCCATACTATGAATTGAGCGATACAACGAAGCCATCTCTTCTTTAAAAGGGTTCAAACTTTGGGGAGAAAATACACTAAAGGTGAACACATTCTAAAGCACACTTAGCTGTTCAGGTCTTCCATCTGAAAGAAAGTACCAAAAATCTTACCCTATCTGTCATTTTATTGCTGATTCCAAGGAGCATCAACATGTTGTCGCACTCTGTGACCCCCATGGCATAAAGGTCACTTAGGACATTGGCACACGCTATCCGGCCCTGAAAGAGAAAGAAAGACAGGAAAAAAAAAAATCTGCAGGACTGTAGGTGAATGTTTAAACACCTGCCAGAAAAAAAGCTTCCAGTATGGGTTTGCAGTCTGACACAGCTGCTTATTCCACAGGCTCCAGCATTAAGAAACCCAGCCATAGATGTAGGACGATCCTTGTAGGAAATTTCATGCTGTGTGCCCATCTAGAAGTCCAGGATCTGCTCCTTTTACAGGGACAGGGAGAATTCATCCCAGCTGTCTTTCTCAGCATTCTCTCTCACTGACTGTGTAGGAGTCCCAGGGTTCAGACTGGATGCCCAGTCTGAGAGGCTGAAGTTAAGCTCAGCAGTCTGCCTTTGGTAAGAGGCTCGGTTTACTTCATCAGATACAGTCCCATTAACTTTATTCCAGCACAAAACTGTACATCCTGATGAAGATGACCACAGTATGGAATTCACAACTGCTAGGAAGCCAATCCAAAATGCTGTATTGCTGTACCTCTTCTGCATCAGAATACACAGGAGCCAGGGATTTTTGATGAGAAAGTTGTTTGTCCTCTGCACTAACCTGGAGGCCATGTCTACACTCCTCAGTTTTTAGGAGAGTACTCCTCTTCCCGGAGGATACAGCTAAGAAGTCAGGAAGCTGGCAGCACTGAGAAGCTACCACTTGTGTCACATGGTATTAGCTACCCTAATTTTACTAAATTAATGGTTCTGAGTCAGAGTTTCTGGGGTATGGACTCAGTACAGAAGAGACATCAAGTTTCCTGATGAAGATGCAGAACTTCCTGACACAGGATGTGCCCCAGGGGACAGCAAGATATTTCAAAACACAGGACAAGTTCTGTTGTGTTACCCTGGAAAACTCCATGCATTCTATGAAAATTGTTTTAGGTTTACAGCTGCAGAACAGCAACCAATATCTGGTTTTATGATTTTAAATCTGGTTCACAGGCAACACTACCGTGATAAAAAACAACAGCATGCTTATTTGACAAAATTTGGACAATTCACAAAAAAATTATTATTTACAGGCAGTTACCTCACTTGCTGATGACATAAAATAGCATGTCCAAATCACAATTAAATAAAATCCAGTTTTTCATAAGTTCAAGAACTTCCAGTAGCACCAGGGGAATCTCTTACATTTGGAACTGGAATATGAATTAATCATTTAAATCTTAAGCTGTTAAGAAAAGAGTGAGCTGTGTATTGCATGGTTTGATGGATATTGGCTGTTAGATTTCTAGATGCCTGCCATTCCCCTTTTCTGGAAGGGAACTAAAACCATTCTGTGTTATCTTCAGTATTTACCAAGCAAGCTGCTGGTTTATGCCCTGTTGGGGACTGACAGATAAGTTTTTAAAACAACGACAACAGCTCTGATAGTCAGAGGTCAGTCTAAAAACCCTTTTGCCAACTGCCAAAACCACAATGGAAACAAATTCAGTCCAAGCCTCAGGTCTGAAGGAGCAGAGAGAACAAAACACAGCTTGTGAACACTGACAAACACACAAGAGGACTCATAAACAGGGGTCAGTCCTGCAGGCTACCTGCCTGCTTGCTCATGTGTTTCAGAGGGACTATGTCCAGTAGTAAGAACTATTTATAAGGGCAAAGGATGAAGATTCAGACATCCATCTCCAGTCCTTCTTAAAAGAGCAACAAAAAGGTTTCTGGAACGGAAGGGCATCCTCTCTTAAACTACACAGTTCCCTGCTCCTGTATTCAAACAGGTGTCTCCACAATGCCACAATAGAGGCCAGTACCAGCCCTATTCCTAGTGGATTAATACTTATTATGAAACCTATTTTCAATTGCTTGTAACTTTTCTAAATAAACCATTTAAACTGAATAAATCCTATGCTGGATATAGATTTTATAGGTGTACATCCTAGGGATAATTCTGTACATGGACTGAGTGTTTTCAAAGACAAAGAGAAGGAGAAAGGGGAAAAAGAAGAAAGAATGATTTTGCATATAACTGCAAAACTTGGTTTTAAAATAGGCACTGAGAGAGTGAGAGAAAGCTGTTTTCTGAAGCAGAAATTGGAAGTTCAGCTGAGTCCACACACAGTTTTGCCTCCCTCAGCTGTTTACTAATCCCTTCTGTCAGAGTACTCAGCTTAGAGTTCATCTGCACTTCTGGATTTCCCTCTTTGCTCCCTCTCCTTCAACGAGGAAGAAAGATCAGACATGGAGCTGCAGGTAAACCCTGTGCACAGAGAAAGGAAAAGGCTCTAAAACAGGGAACACCTGCTCAAAACCAGATTAGAACTGACCAGGTAAGGAGACTGAGAGGAAGGGCAAGGAGAGTGTGGACTGCACAGGAGTGATAATGGTCACAGAGTAGTAACAACAGGTATGGGTCAAGAGACACCCAGGCTTAAATGAGGAAGGAAGCAGTTGGAGAAGCAGGGCAGCAGCAGCCTGTCTTCATCAGAGAAGTCCACAGCACACTCCTTTATACAGCCTGGACACAAACTCAAACTTCTCACATCTCACCATCCCTCTGCTTGTAGTAACCATCCATAAACCCTGTGGCTGGTTGTATTTGACTGTCCTCTAACCACTGCTGGTCCACACAAGAGATATTAAGATACTCTAGCCCTCAAGAGAGAGAGGTCTGAGTAGAGGATCCAGCAGCATTAATCCTGCTGGATCACCACGGCCAGTACCACAAGGCTTTGTTCTCAGTCAGCTTTTAGGAAGAAATACACATCTGTAAACACATTAGGAAGTGGTCAGCCACCGGATTAAAATGAATGCCTTCAAGAATGAAAAGTGAAAGACTTGAGAGTCAGACAATACCCAAGTTACAGCTGCTGGTGCATGTGGATCACAGCAGAGACTGTGACTATGATGCAAACACTGAAGCTGGACTAAGGCCAAATTTACATTTCACTCCAACCACACAGGCCTAGGCCTAAACCTCATCTGGGCACAGGCTCATCTATCTACTCCTGCGGCATCTCAAACCCTTTGTATCTCCAAACAAAGCAACCCTCCCCCTTCACCACAGCCTTTACCACTGTCCCTCCTGAGTTTTTGTTACAAGGTGAGAAAAAAACAAAGTTTCTCAGATAATGAACTTGAACACAGAGCTCCGACATTTTTTTTCCCCCTCTGGTCCCTGCCGAGTTGTAACATGATATTAAGGCAACCCACTTGAATCAAATTTCTCAGGAGAGCTCAACAACTCCATACTCCAGAGGCCAGCCTGAGATTTCGGCTGCTCAGTTTGCAAAGAGCTCTTCTGGAACAGAAATCAAAGGAGCTACGCTTGCATATGTGCACACCACCTGGTCAAGCATGCTAAAAAAAGAAAAAACTTGGTCACAATCTCAAATTGCGTGTCCAAAACCTACCAGACAGGTCTCATAGAGCAAACAACAAACCAAGAGCAGCAAATAAAGCATGCAGGCACCCCAACAGCAGCAAAAACATCCAGAGGAGTCCCATCCAAATCATATGAATTCTAGCATTTCTTAGCTTTCATTTAACATTTCCTTACAGCTTTATTCTTTTTTTTTTTTTTGAATTTGTTTCTCCATGAGACACACTAAATGAAATAGGGACGCAGAAGTGACTGAAGCCAAAGTGCACCCAACTCCAAACAAGTCATTTCAGTGTGCCCATGTTCAAATGGGGGTTGTAAAACAGGAAAGCTGGTGTTCAAAAGCACTCTGAAGTTGCCAGGTGCTATTGGCAGCTACTGACACTTAGGTATTTCCAGTTCTAACATGTTACTTGGGTTATTTCAGTACCTCAAAAAACACCAGTCACAATGTGGTTCTGCTCCTAAGTGGAGTTTACTCTCTGTTGCTTCACAGGCGTCTCTTTTTTTTCCCCCTTTTGGACTTTACAAGCCAAATCCCACAGAACGGGAGATGAAGGGAAATTTGAATTGAAGGTGGCAGTTCTCCCAGCTTTCACCTACAGAAAGCAGCACTGCAGCATTCCTGGCCAACATGGAAGACTACAGGATGAAAATACGCCTTTCTCTCTTCGTGCCTATTTAGGGAAGCCTCTGAATGCAATTAATCACACAATTAGCACTGCACATCTAGAAGAAACAGTCAGAATTGCCAGTGGATTGGTGAGAAGCCAAAATCAGCAACAGAGCCAAGAGTTTAGTTTAGCCAACTTACCATCATATAAGGGTCATCCACAATAGGATAAATATAATCTGTTGTCTGGACCAATGACAAACCTCCATGTCTTAATGGAATAACACAAGTGTCCATCCCAATTCCTGCAAAGACAGAAATCCATGAGTGAGACGAGTAACTGTGCCTTTAATTATCTGTTGCTCTTAACAAAGCAACTTAAAAAACATGTCTGTGAAATACAACTAGTAAACTATCTAAACAGACATGGCAAATCCCTTCCTTACAGAAAGCACACAGCACAAATAAGAGGAAAAAACAAGCAAATAAAAGGAAAAACCAAGTTCCTGGCTGGCTCTGAACATAAGCATAAATGGCTGAAGGCAAGAACTACAATGGAAATAAACTACAATGTTCTTCATTCTCTTGCAGCAAAATAACAGCGCATCAAGAACATCTGTGCTTGTATGTAAGTACATTTAAACATTTAAAGTTAAGAGGAACTACATGCATTGATATTGTCAAAAGTAAATCAGAGCTGTCACTCTGATCTCAACAAAAACACAGTGACAGCTTTAAAAGGACACAGCCTCTCCTAAAGGACATTCCCTCACTTCAGGAGGAACAAGAACACTGCCACAAGTCACAGCCCTTGGTGAGAGATGACTCAAACACTCGGAGCTCTCACAACTGTGTTAACCTCGCCTTACGCCTGTGAGGCTTGAAAGTGGCAGACGACCTGACAGACACAGAACTCCTTTGAGAAAACCACAACTCTGAGCACACCCTTTTCCCTGACAGTGGGTATTCCAAACAGAGTAAGCGATATTAAAACCTCCCAGCGTTTGCTGTGATGGAAAAACCCACAGCAAAGGGGCAGGGGACAGATCACAACACGCTGGCTGAGCCACACGCCCTGTGGGTATCCTTGTAGCAATGGCAGGTAGTTTATCTCCAACCTGAGATGGCAGCAAGCCACCTGGAATTACTCTGCATACCTCACAGGGCAAGAGTCTTCAAAACAGCCTGTTTTTAGGGAGCAGATGTCACTCTTTTGCCTTTCCTATGCAAACACACTACCTGCTGCCACCTGAGGTCTTACCAAGGAGACAGAGAAGGTGTGTCAGGCAGTCAGTGCATAGGTGGAGAGGATCTTGCTTCTCCTGCCTACAGAGGCAGAAGAAGCTCATGAGCAGTAACTTAGGGCTGCTCATCTTCCCCAGAAGCTCCCAAGCCACCCTGTGCGATGTCCAGTGTCCCCAGGGAAGAGCACGTATACAGTTACAGAGAAGTGGCCCATCTACAGGAGCTGTTTTGCCCTCAGTTCACCTGTTCATGCCATAATGCTGCAAGACTGTCTTCCCTTGTGCATTTCTCCACAACTGCAGCAGAAGCGCTGCTTGACAGACAGGCCAAGGAGCTACACTGATGGTCCTTCTGAGGCTACACTGCTGTTCCACCAAGACAGATCTGACTAAACAAGTGAATCGGTTCAGAGACGTGACTGATTTCAGGTCCGTAACAGCTCTGAGAACTAACACCAGACTTGCAGTTTTTTTACTCATGGCCACATTTAAGATTGCTCTGGGTAACATCACTTGCAGAACTAAAAAGGAGTGAGGTTGAGCCTGCTATTGGCAACCTCCCTCCTGACTGCATCTCAAAAGCATGGTGCATATGCACAGGTGCTAAAGTTATCTGTCTATACCTTTTAAACACAAGGCATCAAAGGCAAATCACACCAAACTTATCCAAAGACACATTTGTTAAAGGGATACTCACCACAAGAGCATATTTTTAAGAGACCTGAGCTCTCCACCCTCTATTACTAACAGATTTCCTGTTACATAGTATCGCACCCACATATTGATGGCATAAATCTACTTTTTTTTACCTTTTCACATAGCTGGAGAAGAAAAATGTATTAGCAGTTCCATTGCTGTTTAGAGGCTGTAAGTTTGTAAGAGAAAAAAAATCCAACCCAAACTATTAATGATTTTAGAAAACTGCCAAATTGAAACGCTGCTGTGAACAATTTATTTAATTCAGAAAAATACATATAAAGGGCAATTTGGGGATAAAAGAAGCTGGAAGTGTCCTTCAGCAGGGAATATTAAATTATAGTGCCACCCCAGCTTCACACACAATTGCTGCTTAGATATTTCTTACAAAGATCCCCATTGTTTAAGCACGAACATGAGTGCCTTACTAATCTCTCACTGAATTCAATCTCTAACAGAATAATGGGCTGAGACCTGTCAGCCTCCTAACAGACAATCAGCAATGTTAAAACAATTTTAAATAAGGTTATTGGACACTAAATTGATAATTAAATAACTTCAGAATAAATGCTCCATTGATATTCCTTAAGTTGAAGGAAAAAAAAAAATAATTCATTCTGCACTGCAAAATAGAGACTGACTATGCAGGGCTGAGTAAACAGACAAACAGAATTAAAAGTGTCATTAAACACATTATCTACATTAATTTATCTATATCAATATTAGGTACAGTAGCTGGTATCAAAATACCTACGTTTGCCCTGTTCCCCATGTAGGTGGCTTGTGCAGGTTGTTTTCCCTTATTGCTTGCATCATTGTGCAAATATCAAAGAGAAAGTGAAGCTGGCAAGAACACAGAGGTCTTGGAAAGGCAGCCTTTCCCAGGCAGCTTCTACAGGTGAGCAAAAGAGTTAGAGTGGGGAACAACGAAAGGACTGCAAGGAACAATGACAACTGTGAAACAATTTGCTCCCAGTCAGCTGAAGCAAGGAATTTTTCTCTTGTTCACTTTTTGTGACTCAGGAACAGAGTGGAGGGGAGGGAGTGGGGAACTTCACCTGCAAGTCTCCAATTGCATAACATTCATTGCATTCATTGCATAAATTTCCAAATGTATCGATATAAAATCCCAGAAATTAACTGAAAGGACTTCAGTTTGCACAGCATCTACTGGGGAAAGAGAGGAGCACATTAACACCTAAGCACGTGTCTATCACAATGGCCATTCCTGAGTGTATTTCCTTTGCAGTTGAGTGCACCGCAGGATGTTAAATAAGTAAAATAATACTCCTGTATCCCAGATGCCGACAAATGACAGCATGAGATTCATTCTTCAGCTTTCTGGATGCTACGCATGCATTATACAACATACAGTTCTCAAGCTGATTAAACAAACCACAAATGAGACCGCGTCACTAGGCACACCAAACAGAAGGACCGCACACGTCAGGAACAGCAGCTACTTACCCAGCCTGGGCATAACTGCCCCCAAGAACTGTTCATCTTCCTGAAAATGGTTTTCTTGTAGAGATTCGAGCAGTTTCTGTAAGACATCCTGCGGCACTTTGCAGCCTGTGCCTTTCAGTTCAGTGAATCGGGTCAGGCGGAAGCTCTTGTCCAGTTCGTAACTTTCTGGGTTAAACGACTCCCGGACAGACATGGTTCTCTCCCCAGACTGCCGGCCTTTCCCACCCCACAGCAACGGGATCAGTTTCTCTGCTGAGTAGTCTTATTAAAAAATAAAATAAAAATAAAAAAAATTGGGACCATTAGAAATTCCTACAACCTGCGAGACAACACAGGTTTTCCACGTGGAGTGAGTTAAAAGAAAGAGAAAGCACTCGATGCTGTTGTTCACCTGTTAAGACAGGTGAGCACATCTCACACAACTCATTTCCCTAAGACTACAAAAGAATGACTCCTCACCCTACCTTCTGACATTTAGAACTATAACTATACTGGTGAGTCAAGAGAATTAAATTTTTTTCCAGATACGCTGCATAAGGTTTTCATTAAAAAAAAGGATCTAACACAACTTACCAACCTAATTTAACACAGAGGTAACAAAAGAACAGTTCCCAGAGCAGAGGCCAGCATCCAAAAAGCAACCTGGGCCCTGATCCTGCAACACACTCAGCAGTCACATCTGCTTGTACACAGCTCAGTGCGGGGTCACAATTTTAGCCATTAACATACTAATCTCAAAAAATAAGATGCTTTTCAAATACTGGCTCTGCTTCAGTCCTGATGTAAGGAGCTGAAACTCCATAATACACCTGTTCTCCTTGGGGGAAAACACAATCCCGGTGTTCTGTTAGCACAGGTAACAGAAGAACAAAGAGGTCATATTTAAGCAGACCGGTCCACCTACAAACACGCCAGTTTACCTTCTGGCATGTCCGCAGACATAAAAATCCTGAAAAGTTTCTTGCCTCTCCAGCCCTTTTTTAGTCAACTAATGATACTGTGTATACAGAGAATTGCCCATTAAAATGGTAATGTAAAAAGACACTGATGCAACTCATTTAATAAAATTCTTAACAATGCATGTCTAATTTTAGAACGTTTTTCCACTCTGACTCACATCCCACCACACTCCAAAACTAATGAGAGGCCTAAACCGAGACACTGACTTCTAAACAGGAACGGCTGTGATAAAATGCAATTCATCTTTCTCAGAGAAGTTTTCAGGAATTACTAAAAACAACCTGTCTGTGGTATTTTCTTAGAAAGCAAGGATCCTGCCTAACAGCAACAAGAACAGAGATCAGCGGCATCACTGGCAAAATCTGATACCGATACTCACATCTTAACAAGGTTAAGCTGAAAAGAAAAAAATGAATGCAAGTGACTGGTATTTGCCAAGTTCAAGTTTGCTAAATGAAGAAGTAAATCTACAGACTGTGATGTATCTCCGCTATACAGAACTTATTAACAAGTACATCTGTTCCATAAACCTTTAAGTCTACTAATTTATTGATTCTAATTCGTAATGGAGCTGAAGTTTTAAGCTCCCTGAGAACTTTTGATGTGCAGCCCAACTCCCCTTTACAGTGCTTTCCCTCCTTCCCTGGGAGGTGTGGCATTTATTTAAAACAAATCTCCCAAAGCCCAGGCTCGGGCACTAATCCAAACTCTAGTTACAAGAACGTGTCTTGGATGAGCAATGAATTCAGTTCCTAGCTGTTGTCTTCCAATGCAAGACATTAAGCACTTGCAATCAGAAAAAAAAAAAAGTGTCTGGAAAACAACCTGTCAACAGAAAAAGGAGACAAAAGCTTTTTTAAGGAGGGGGATTTTTTTCCCCCTCTCCATTCTTTTTTAACACTTCGTTCTAATTAATTCCAGCAATTTATAAAAAGCAGCTTGCCCCACAAGGAAAATAACCACTAATTGCAATAAGCTTAGCACCCCCTGCCTACCTACACAGGGATGGATGCGGAGGCCACAGCCTACCAGGAACTTTTTTGCAGCCTTGAGGACTGCAAAGACAGAGTTCCCTCGTTCGAAAACAAATCTTGAAACAAACAAGGCGATTTCATTTAATGCCAAACACCCGCAGTGCAAGAACGCACTAACTTCTTAACGAAGATCTGATTAAAGCTGCATGCAATTGGGTATTTTGCTGACTGCCAGGGGAGAACCTCCCCTGCAGGACCAAGTTTGGTGACTTCGGTGGTCGCAGCACCGAGCCTGTAAGAGCTCAGGAAGCGTCTGGACAACGCTCTCAGACACATGGTGTGATTCTTGGGGCTGCCCTGTGCAGGGCCAGGAGCTGGGCTCGATGATCCTTGTGAGTCCCTTCCAGCTGGGAATATCCTGCGATTCTGGCAGTCCACGCAGCACGCGATGCGAGCGACAAGCATCCCTCCCCCGCAGGAGGAATCACCCCGTAACCCAGACGTTCCTTACTTTTAAAAGACCGGCATAATAAATATTAAAAGCTAAAGTTTAACCCTTGCCTCCCTTAAGAGCAGGACTGGGGAGAGAGCACAGGAGCAAAAAAAAAAAAAAGGAGGCGGAGGGGGGTGGAGGGAGGAAAGAAGAGGATCCAGGTACATACCCAGCGCAACCCCCTCAGCACCCGCCGCCAGCCCGGCCGCCCGGGACACGCGGGGCGCGGAGCCGCGACACCCATGGGCCCGGGGAGCGCGGCTGCGGGCGGGCACGGCTGCGGGACACCTTAAATTTCCAGCCGCTGCCTTTAGAGGCGAACCCGGGGCCTTCGCTGCCGCTCTCTTTGTGCAGACGGAGAGGAGGCGGCGGGGGAAGAGGAGGAGGAGGAAGGAGCTGCGCGGAGCGGAGCGGCGGCAGCGGCCCCTCTCCCGCGGGTGCCCGGCCCCGGCGTGTCCCCGGTGTGTCCCCCGTGTCCCCACGTGCAGGTACGGTGTCACCGGGGCGGGGTTCGCCCCTCGCTGCCGGGGGCGGCCGGTGGGATGTCGGGAACCCCTACACCACCCCCCCACCGCCGGTCCGTGATGGGGAGGGAGGAAAGCTTGGGGGGCGAGGGGGGGAAGGAGGGAAAAGGAAAAAAAAAAAATGTCGGCGGGCGAAAAATTTAACCCGTCCGCTGCCGGCGTCCAGATTTTTTTAAAGCGGCCGCATCGCGATGAGGCGCTGCCCCTACTCGCCCCCGCCCTCCTTCCCGCTCCTTCCTCCGCCCTTCCCCGGGGCCGGGCCGAGGAGGGCGGCGGGGCCCGGGCCGGGCGGGCACCCTGCGCCCCGGCCGCGCCGCGCCGCCCCCGCGCCCGGCCCGGCGGGAACGGCGGAGGCGAATTCCCTTTAAATCTCCCCGCCTTGCACCCCCCTCCTCCTCCTCCTCCTCCTCCCTCCTCAGGTCTCCCTCTCACCGGCTCTCGCCGCCTCCTCGCCCTCCGCCTCCTCCCGCGAACGGGACTCCCAGCGCGGTCCCACAATGCACCGGGCGCGCCGGGCTCCCTCAGCGCCGCCTGAATAGAAAATGCCGCCGCCGCCGGGCACGGCGGGGTTAAACCCCTCCCTTCTCCTCCTTTTCCCTCCCTTTCCCCTCCCGCCTCTCCTCTCCGCGCTTCCCGCCCCTCCCGCTTCCCCCCACCCTCCAAACACGCATCCCACGCGCGTTCCTCGCGGGCGCGCTGCTATTGCGGCGCGATTGTCGCGACACAAAACCTCCCGCCGTCGTTTCCCCCCCCCCCTCATTTCTGCACGTGTCAGTGTGTGTGGGGTCTGGTCCCTTCATACCGTCATAGAATCGTCAAGATTGGAAGAGACTTTTTTAAGATCATCCAGTCCAACCCAGCGCCGCCACTGTAACCCCTAAGGCGCATCAGATCCAGATGCCTCTTAAACACTTCCAAGGATGGTGACTCCACCACCCTATTCCAATGCTCTAACAGTGAAAAATTTTTTTCTCATCTCTAGTCTGAATCTCCAGTCTCAGGTTAAGGCCATTTACTCCAGTCACGGAATCACAGAATCAGTTAGGTTGGAAAAGATCTCCAAGATCATCGACTCCAACCTGTGACCCAACACCACCTAGGTCAAAAATAGGTCATCCCTGACCCTCGTCTGGGCTAAACACTCCCAACTCCCTTGTTCTTGCAAGGAGTGTGTGAGTGGGGGTGGTAAGCCACGAGAACCCCACAGGTAGGGGTCTGAGCATGCATGGGGGGACAAATCCCATTCATGGAGGGTGGTCACCCACTCCAGGGTGCAGAGCAGGGTTTAGGTGGGTTCAGAAGAGATCTCGGTGCTGTGGGGGTGAGGATGTGCCAAGTGGGCTGTTCCCACAGGTCCTCATTGCATTCCACTGGCAGAGGGCTTGGTACGTGGTGTGTGGGATGTGAACTTCCTGGGATGCACAAAGCCCGCTGCCCTAACTCTGACGTTCCCTCTGAAGATATCTAGTCTGCCTGTGGAGTTCATTGCTCTGGGATGCTCTCCTTCAATAACAAAAACGTTGGGATTGGGAGCATTTCAGGCTGGAATTTAGCTGGAGCAGAGGAGCCCCTGCACTCTGCACAGCTGTGCACACCTGTGCTGAATTTTGCCCAGAAACTGGACAGAAAGTCATATTTGATCCATGTTGCAACCAAAAGCTGGTCAAGAAGGAAACCACAGGAGTCAAGAGGACTTGACAATGGGCAAAATTTGGCCAACATCAGATTTTTCTGCATGCAGAGGCAAGACTGTGGCACCAGGAAGCCGGAGGTTCCCTCAGGAGTCATCTCCGAGGGTCTCCAGTGGTGTGTGGCCCGTGGAGGGCTGTGGGTACCACATCAGCAGTGTTGCAGCCTGGCTGGGTTGCATCAACTGGTGACTTTTTTTTAACCAAAATCTGTTTCTGAGCATGCTTCAGAAAAAACAATGCAATCTTGTTTTGCAGCAGGTGGTGATGAGTTCAGCACAACTATAAAAGTTGTGCTGTGTTTCGGTACCCAACAGCCAGGGCATCCCTTCTTGTCCCAGAGTATTTGCTCAGGTCAGCCTTTTTCCGCCACTGATTTGCAAAGCATCCCGTTTTTTTCATATGCATTTAATATATAAATCACTGGAATCTGACATATCTTTAAAAAGTCTGATTTCCACTGTCTTTTCAGTTCATTTTCCTCCCTGAAGGTACTTTGTGTGCTTCTAAAGACCCTTTCCCCAGCCGATTAAAGTTACAAGTCAGATGATTCTCACTCAAGACTTGTCTTGATTTACATGCAAGACAAGTTTTCCCCAGAAAGGAGGGAATTTCCGTGTTAGGGATAGCACAGGGCCCAGTTTTACATTTCCAAATAGATAAAACAGGCACTTTGCTTCATGTAATTTGCAGTTAAGTACCTAATTAGGTAATTGCCTGTTAATTCAAAGACTGCTTTTTGTGCAACTGGCTTTGAAAAAGTGCTGCCTAAAAACAAGCAGAAAGAGAAAAAATTAAAATGTTGCTTTTCTTGCCTGATTTTAATTACTCTTTTTATCTCCCAGCGAACGTAGTGCCCCTGGATCATGGTGCAGAGGACCAGAGGTGCATGGGAGCTCCTGGCACTGAGCATATTTAGGAAGTCACCAATATTTGTATAATTAATTGATTTTCGGGCTCCTCCGTGTTGCTCTACAGAAGCATTTCAAGCTTGACACACAGAAGCTGCTTCTCTGTGAGCAGCTGTGGGGCATTTGGCTGATGGTTTCGACAGCAGACAGCAAAGATGAATCGAGGACGTGGCATCCGCTGTCACGACCTGGAATTTGAACTCTTTGGTGCCTCTCCCTCCTCCCAGAGGGATGGAGGGGAGGCGGAAGATCTCGGGATCTTCTGATTGCCATGGATCCAGCTGGTTTGCTGAGCATTGGCCTCGTATCGTGTCTGTGGGCTCTTTTGAGAGATGATTTCAGTCTGACAAAAAGCCTGTGAGTATCTTGAGAGCTGGAAATCGGGTGCTCTGATCTCACATTTCTCCAGGATTTAGCCATTGCCTCTACCACCAGCACCTCCTTTAAAAAAAAAAAAAATCATGAAACATAAGAAAAACCATGAGATAAAAGAAAAGATGAATGTTGCTGATTTTAAGCCCTGACTTAGAGGTTTTTCCTTTCTGATGTATTTGGAAGGGGGAGGGAATTGGATCATATTTTCATCTTTTTTTTTTCCCCCACATCCATGAGGATTAGACATTTCTTTAATAGAGGGGGAAAAAAAAATAAATTGAGATTTCCAGGTGGTAACATGACTGAAAGAAAACGTGAATAGATGGAATTCATGCCGAGGTGGTGAGGTCTGGCAGTGCTGCCTTGTGCTGTGTTACACTCAGGAGTGGGAGAGAGGTACTTGCACTGTGGATGCCATGCCAGTGGCTGCCCCTGTCCTTCTCCGTGGTTTCCGGGGGTGGGATGGTCACATCTGAAGACAGAGCTGTAGGAAAGAGTCTCCAGGAAGGAAAACACATGGAGGGGTATCCATGCAGCCCTTTGGTACCTGTATGGGTGTGAGCTGAAGCTAAACAGGACCGGGGTGTGGAGATGGGCACTGTACATAACTGACTGCCCTGATTCATTAAAAGCAACTTCTTGACACAGGCAATGATGGAGCATCCTCAGATGGATCTGCACGTGTCCCAGTGACCATGTGCATCACTCCCTCTTGCCTGTGCTGGGGTGAGGCTGTGCATGGGCAGGTGGCGGGCAGGAAAGTGGCTTTGCCAAAAAAAACACAAGCCAAGAGGTAGCAGTCACATCTCCACTGCAGCTTCAGGTCGGCGTTGTGGCACCAGCACACACGTATCCCGTGCTTCTGGAGGGGCCCCACACTTGAAACAGCTGCTGGAGGATGTCTGGGGTCAGAAGGGGAATCCTGTGCACCCAGGAAATGTCCTTTTGGTGCAGGATCATAAGCAAAACCCTAACAAAGTAGTGAAGGATCCAGCTGCCCTGGGCAGAGCCCACACTGCTGGAACCACCTGCTTCATGGAACATTTTCCTAGAGTTAAGTAATGGTTTTCTAAAAATTTATCAAATTTTTTATTATTATTATTTTCTCGCCAAAGGCTTTTTTGCCATCTGCGTGCAGAATCTCCAGCAGAAATTCCAAGATCTGGAGTGATGTGGTCCCGTGCCATGAGAATGAATCTGCTCTGCTCACCTTAGGCCGTGCGAGAAGGAGAAAGAGAAGAAGGTGGAGCTCTCTGTGAGCCTGATAAGTCATCAAAGGCATCTGCCTCCTGTGCTGACCTGAGGACGTGACAGATGTCTGTAGCCTTCACAGGTGCAGGGCCTGCATTTCATCGGTCTTTTTTCCTTGGGTGACTTGGAGAGTGGATTATTAGCAGCTCAGATTTCTTTAGCCACGGTGCTTTGTTGTGTACACATCCGGGTTAAATCTAAGCAATATTTCTGATCCATGTAGGCTTCTGACTTGGTTCTGCATCTTTGGTGTTTATAAAATGATCAGCATTTGAACTCTTCTGTTCTTTTCCTTAAATGTCAGCAGAAACTTATTTGTTTTAAAAATAAACAATGCAGCCTCCGCCTGCAATGTTTGTAAGCAACAAACTGTGGCATCACAAGAGCATGAGGAAATATTGCTGATTAAAACCAGGGTAAGAAATGACAGTGAAAGTGTTTGTGTGGTTTTTTCTCATTGCAGAATCACAGTGAAGTGGCTGGTAAAATGGGACCAGCTCGCTCAGCTCCACTTGGGCTGAATACGAGGTTTAATGCAATGAAACTACTTCCACTGGTATGTGGGGCTGATCATATGCTTTTGATATGCTTCTTAAATCTAGTGTGACAATTTAATTTCTCATGTGAAACACGTCTCACAGCACAGCTTATCCCCCACCTCTCTCTGCTTTGACAAAGCAAAGCAAGTTTGGGCTATTGTTGGCTTTCTTTGCCTTGTTTTTGTCTTTTTCCTGAATCTCATTAATATACAAGTGGTATTAAATAATAATGATTCCAGTAGTCACCTCTGCTGTGCCTTGGTGTTTGCTCCCTTTTGCTTCGAGGAGCAGATGTTGTCTGTCTTTATTTTCTGTCGCCAAACTGGGACTTTGCCCCTTTAACCTTTGATAAGGTGCCTTAATAGCCTCTGATGTGAGATTTTATCACAAGCCAAGTAAAGGATACCCGCCTAGCAGCTTTTATTAAACATTCCCGTCGTGTTTTACAGCAGTTTGAGGAAGTCTGGTTTCCTCTTGTGTTTTTGCAGGTTGTATTTATCCCCTGCAGCCAGGTGAGCACCCATGGGCAGAGGTCCTGTCCAGGACTCTGCCATTGTGGGTGCTGCTTGAGCAACAAGCCCTAACCAACCTGCACCTCAAACCAGTCAAACAGGGTGATACCATAAATAATCAATGGGGTCTGACTAGACTCAGCTGGACCCTGTTTTCCAGCGATTTGTGATGTGAGATGGGGAGGGCAGTGTGTACACAAACGCTGCTGGGGCCTTGGTGCTTGTTCTCCTCTTGCTGTGTTCCTGGCCAGGAGCCACTGGGGGGCTTTTGCACCAGCAGTTAAACCCTGCAGTGCTGTAAAGCTGCTCTAACCCTCCCTATGAAGAGACACCCTCACTACATCCTTCTCTTCCTCGTCCCTTTTGCAGCATTTCATACTTTGCTCCTGCACTCAGCCACCCCGAAAGCCCCAAGGGAAAGTCCACCTCCCAGTTTTCTACCTATTTATTTACCTGGGCATCCACATGGCTCAAATGAACAGCCATCAGCCCTGGGCTGGGGTGGTGAGGGCTCTCCCTGGGGCAGGCAGGCTGAGTTGCACCTTAGGTGGGAGTGTGCCTGGCTCCAGGAAGCCTTGTGGGCAATTTGGGAAGGTGGCACTTTGTGTCTGGGATGTGCCTGTGCGCTCTCCAATGGCCTCTTGCAACATCAGGGGTGGCTTCTGCTGAATCCCCCTTGGCCTTACCCACATCTCTCCATAATTGCATTGGATTTGATATTCCCACCCCTGCCTTTGTTGTCTTGGCCTGTTTGACATCCTTGCCATGTCACACCTGTGGAACGTTTCATTGACCCCCTTTCTTCTGCCAGGCTGGGGCAGCAGCAGACATGGAAGAGCTGCTGTTTCTTACTGATTACCACATGGAAAATAAAACAAGCACCCGAGGCTGGTTGATGCAGCAGCCTCTGCCATGCTTCCCTCAGCACTGCTGCCCAGCCCTCACAGGAACCACCTCCTTCCCTCTCCACACCTGGAATTTCACCTATGCCCACAACGTCTGCTTTGGTGGACAAGCCTCGTGGTGGACAAGCCTCGTGTCTTGCATTGCCTGCTAGTGCTCTCCTTGTGTCCTTCACCCTTTGTAGGGCTTTGTTTCCCTAAGCCACATCCCAACACAGTGCGGCTGAGCATCCCCAAAAATTTGCCAGTTCCTGTGGCAGGGACATGCCCTGCCACGTGGATGGCACCGGCACAACCCCATTATCACCACCACGGGGCTGCTTCAGCCCCATGCACAGCCCATACACCCCGTGCTTTCCCGTGCCAAGATTCTTTCCAAGGCTGGAGCCTATAAATAATCCAGGAGTCTCACCTCCCGCTCGGCTCCACACGCTGCTACCCTGCTTTGTTTCAGAGTGAGCCGTGTGATCCCGCCAGCCAGACCTGCAGCCACCCGATACAGGCTCCCTTGGGATAAGCCTCCAACACTGACTTCCCACATTACCGTCTGGAGCGATGGGTGCAGCCGAGCTGAGCCAGCAATCCTATTCCAGCTGCTGGCACTCGCTAAAACATCTGCCTCGCCTGCATCATGCCTGTTGATGGAGCTGTGAGCAGCTCCCAGCATGTCATTTGGGAATATAAATTGAGTTCTTCCGAGCTGGAACCACCTGCTTCAGATAATTTCTTTGGCAAGGAGTCTTCTTTCTTGCTCTCCATCCAGGATTTTTGTGCCTCCCACCACTGCCAGCCCTATGCTGTATCTGGTGGGGGGAGGTGGTATTGATGGGTGGGAGCGGATCCATGGGGAAAATGTCCTGCTGCCAAAGCATAGCAAGAGGCAAATGTGCTGTTTAAACCATGAAATTGTAGAATCATAGACTGGTTTGGGTTGGAAGGGGCCTTTAAAGTTCTGCTAGTCCAACCCCCTGGTCATGGACAGTGACAACTTTCACTAAAGCAGGTTTCTCAAAGCCCCATCCAACCTGGCCTTGAACACTTCCAGAGATGGGGCATCCACTGCTTCTCTGGGCAGCCTGTTCCTGTGCCCCACCACCCTCATAAAAAAAAAACATTTTCCTTGTGTCCAGTCTAAGTTTACCCTCTTTCAGCTTAGAAGACCTCTCAGACCTGCCAGCAGGACTGATGCAGAGGCACTGGGGCTTCATCCAGAGGAGTTTGCCCAGATTCCATCAACATGCAGGTGGGACATGCTCCTCTCCTCCACCACTGATGGGCTGAATGGCCTCAGCTTGGATTCTGCCTTACTTTAGGTGCTTGGGTTTTGAGGTATTGGTGCTAGACTGAGGCTGGTTGGATGCAGGAGCAGAGAAACAAGCAGCTCCCAGGGAAAACAGGCAGCTGTTGCAAGGATCAAAATGACCTCAGCAACCCTGCCTGTTCTGCCTGTGGGAAACCAGGGGGGTAGGAATGACAGGTGCTGCTGCCCCCAGCTTCCTTTTCCCCTCCATAGGGTGACACACAGGTCTGCCCCTGCCCCTGCCCCTGCCCCTGCCCCTGCCCCTGCCCCTGCCCCTGCCCCTGCCCCTGCCCCTGCCCCTGCCCCTGCTCCTTCCTCCACCCTAGCAGTATCCATTAGATGAGCATTTAATTAGGCTCCAGTAAGCACACCTGAATTGTTGTCTGCTGAAACAGAGCTGGATCCCACCTGGGATCGTGCCAGTTAGGCATCCAAAACTTGAGCAAATGGGAAAAAGCTGTTTACACACCTAATTGCTGGGAAACGGGTGTAACATCATCAAAGCACTCTCAGGGTTGCAGGTGGGGTGCCCTGGAAGAGATCAGGTGTGCCCAATGCCACTGCTCGTCTCCTCAGGGATAACCACTGTGCAGTGGTGGATTTTTCCCTTTGGAAAAGCAAAAAAAAACCCCAAACCCAAATGCCTAAGCATGAGCTTGGTGGTTTTCTCTCCTTGAGGGGTTGGATGTGAGCGTGTTGCCATAAGAGTCTCAAAGCAGAGGAGGAACATAAACACCTCTCCTGCATCCCATCCAGCCAGCGGGGAGAGCAGGGTTTGGAGAGCTGAGTTTCCAGAAACTCCTGGAAAGCCCCTGATTTACATACACCAAAAGATGCAAAGGCTGTTTCACTGGAATGATTGACATTGGAGCTGCCGGGAGATGAGACCCCTCTGGTGGGACTGGCTGGGATGTGGGGGTGGGTGGAGCAGCCTCTGTACCCCCAAATTCAGCCCTGCACTCAGCAGGCCACACCAGCAGTAGTGGGAACTGCTATAGGGTGGTGCTCCACATCATCCTAAAGGGTTTTTTTCCCCCAGCATTTAAAAGAAAAAACCACCAAAACAGGGAGAGCAACGATCACCCACCAAATCTTCCAATTTCTCCAGTTATTTCTCATCCCCTGGAACTCATTACACCCCCTCACCCCTTCTCCCTGTGCTTTGAGTGTGTTTTCCCAGGATTAGTGCCCAGGATTGGCATTAAGTAAACTCTTCACAGCAACATCCACCTTTGCAGGACCTCACACTCGGGTAGTGGGATAGGGCCATGGAAGGGGGCAAATGCTTGGAGCAGCTTGGGGATCCCTGGGGAGAGGCATCCCTCTGGGTGAAATATCTTCCCACGCAGATGGGAAAGCGAAGGTGCTTGGGGGGAGCAGCAAAGCAAAGACCAGCAAACAGCTTTAGCAGTGGCTGCTTTGATTTCCAGAAATGCAATTAACACCTGCCCTGATGCAACTCCACTCCAGAGAGAGAACCAGTGGGGAAGAGCTGCTCTTCCCGAGCACAAAGCATTGCCCCAAGCCCTGTCCGCTGCTTGCTTGAGTGATGCCTGTGGAGCCCAAAGAAGCCACAAAAGAGTCAGGTCTGAAAGTGTTGTTTTTAACTCATTTTTTTTATTTAATCCAAGCTGTAGAACCAAACCTTACTATTCTACTGATATTCTAAACACTGTCCATATGTCTGTGGTGTAAGTGATGGGTCAGGGAATAGATGTGGGCTCAAAAAAAAAAGTGGGGTTTCTCCCTTTTACTTATGAGTTAGTTTAATCTGTGTGGCTCTGCAAAAGCTGCTGTGAATGCCAGAGCGGCAGCAGTGGATGTGGGATGGGTGGACTGCAGCAGAGAAACAGAGAGGGCTATGGCAGGTCTTTTTCAGAAGGCAAGGAAAAAAGTCCAAAGAACACAAGGAAACTTGACACTATCTCTGACCAATTTAATTGTCTTGTGAAACTAAGCAGCTGAGGGAGGTTTTGTGCTGCAGGTTATCATTTCCATGACAAAATCATTCCAGGAAGGAGCAGCAGCTTCTGCCTTCTGACAGATGCCAAGTATTGCCAGCAAATGCTCCAGCTGCTCCTCACAAGAGCCCCCTGCAAGAGCACAGACATCAGTGCACGTTGGCTTTGGCTGCCCTCTGGCAGGGGCCTTGGAAGCATCTGCAGGCTGTTGTCACTGCACTCCCCCATGTCCAGGAGGTTGGCGGGGTTGGGGGCGGCTCCAGGAGATGTGTCAGTGTGTCACAGGGCCCTTTGTGACCTGGTGGCCATGGGCCATGGGATGGGATGTGGTAGGGTGTCCAGGGCCCCTTTGTGACACGGTGGTCATCGCCCATGGGATGGGGCAGGGTGACCAGGGGCCCTTTGTGACACGTGGTGACAAAGGTGCTGGCGGTGCTGTGAGCCCATCAGTGCGCTCAGAGCACGCGACAGGACAGGACGGGACAGAGCGGTGCTGTGCGGAGCCCCCGTGCAGCCGACTCTCGACCTTGCTGAACCGGAGCCTTTCTGAGGATTCTTCGGATTTTTTCTCGTGCGAGTGCCCTTAAGGCCAGACCGTGGGACTTGGAGACCCGGAGGTTTTCCAAGGGGTGTCCAGTCCCTTTGGCGGGTGCCCTCAAGGGCAGATTGAGGGACCTGGTGACCCCGAGGTTTTCCGAGGGGTCTCCAGTCCCTTTGGCGGGTGCCCTCAAGGGCAAATTGAGGGACCTGGTGACCCCCAGGTTTTCCAAGGGGTCTCCAGTCCCTTTGGCAGGTGCCCTTGAGGCCATTGATCTTTAGTTTGTCACCAGGAATTTTTTCAGGTGTCTCTCTTGCAAGATCCCTCAGGGCACAACACTGGGATGGCAGGGAGACGCCTCAGCCTGCTCAGGCTCTTCAGGAGGAAGAAGAAGGCAGGCCCTGGAGCTGCCCCAGAACGGCAGCCGGAGGAACTGCAGCAGTTCCAAGCTCTGCAGGAGGGTGAGTGGCAGAGCTGGACCCCAGGCATGGGGGCTACAGCCATCCCAACCTTGGACGGGCCTCTTCCCAGCCCAACCTCTCTAAACATGACCAGGGAAAGAGAGGGGGAAGAGGGGCCGGGGCTGATTTCCCCCACGGCCGTGCTCCTTGCACTGGGATGCCGGGGCTGGCTGTGCCTGTGGAGCGCAGGCCTGGGCTGGCTTCTCCGGCCCTTCCCGCAGCCCCTCAGCTCTGACTGCGCTCACTCTTTGCCAGATCCAGGCCGGGAGCGGACAGAAGAGCAGCACCGTGCCCGTGGCCGCTTCCGCAGGGCAGCAAAGGTACCTGCAGCCATGCCCACCTGGGCTGGGCCTGCTGTCACTGCTCAGCCCAGCAGCGCTGCTGGAGCACGCCAGGGCACATCCCTCTCTTCCCTGCCCTTCCTTCTCCTGCAGACGCTGCTGAAATTCTTCAGCATTCGGCGTGGAAGGACCCAGACCACACCAACGGAGGTGATGGCACAGCCTGACACCAGCCCCACCGAGCTCAAGGCCGAGCCTGATGTCGGCACCGCGCCGGCCGATGGCCCAGCAAACCGGGAGACGGCGTCGACCAAGGACACCACCGACCCTGACACCGCGCTGCCTGAGCTCACGGACAAGGCTGACGCCGCAACCACCACTGAGGGCACGGCCAACACGGACACCACGCCCGCTCAGGGCCCGGCCGATGCTCCCAGCCTGCACTTTGGTGCCGAGAGAGTCGTCTCAGCTGAAGTGAGCAGCCTGTGGCCAGCATTGGATGGCACCTCAAGCCAGCTCTGCCCAGTCCCTTCAGCCTTTGAGGCCAGCACGGCGTGCTGGCAAGGGAAGCACTTGTGGTGCAAAGATGGCCAAGTTGCTGGCTCAGGCAGCTCTCCAACTCTCCCCTGTGCCTCCTCCAGGTGCCGGCCTTTGTGAGGAACCTGCACCAGACCCTCACAGCCAATGTGCTGCCAGAGGACGGGCTGCTCAGGGACCTTTGGAGGGTGACGGATGAACACCCCGCTGATGTTGCGCTCACCCTCCTGCACTGTGCCCCATCGTGTGACAGGTACGGGCTCCACCTGCCTTCAGGGCTCCGGCCTCAGCAGCCTTTAGAGCCCATCACCCTGGAAAGCCTGTGCCACAACCTCTGCCACACACAGTCCAAGTTCCAGGATTCTCTGGGCCCTGTTTCCCAGCCCTACCACCTCAGACCCCCATCCTGCTGCCATGCTCCCTCTCTACCCCTCAAGGCACTGTGGCTCTGCTGCTGGGGCTCTGGCAGAGCTGTGGCCAAACCCCCCCTGACACAGAGCTCTGGTCCTGCAGAGCTGCAGCAGTCATGTGGAGGACCATCACCTCGTCAGGAAGGACAGTGGAGAAGGTGCTGCCAGTGCTGCTCAGGGTGATGGAGGAGTGGCCACTGTACTGCACATTCACCTCTGATGGGGACCACAAGCACATCTATGGCCTGGCTGTGAGTTCCTGCAAGTGGCCTTTGCTCACCTCCACAGTACCTCTTTACTGGCTCTCCATCCTCCCCCACCAGTCCGCCTCCCTACCTTAGGCACTGGGCTGCAAATGTGGCAGAGGGGCAGGTTCAGGAGCACCCAGTCAGCTGCTCCCTCTGCTTCTTCTCTGGCCTTTTCTCTCCCTTGCTCGGGCCCTGCCACATGCACATCTGGGCACTGAGAGCTCTCTCTGGCTCCTTTGTCTTTTTGTAGGCAATCAGAGTGGTTTGGGAGATTCTCCAGAGGCTCCAGTGTCCAGAGCCATTGAAGGAGAACTCCCCCCGCCTCCTGGTGGCTCTGCTCTTCAACGTTTTCATCAGCACAGAGCCCATGCCAGAGAAGATCGACACCTTCTGGAGGCAATGCTGGCAGGAACAGGGACTTGCCAGGAACCCCAAGAGGTGCTCCATCCCAGTCCCCTGGTCCCTGCCATGTCCTTGGGGTGGATCCAGGCCTCCCAGAGTCACCTGGGCTTTGCTCTGCACACAGGTTTGCAGTGCACGTAATCAAGGCCTTGCTCTTCCATCTGGAGTGTGAGGACGTGGTGATGGCCATGGATCGCAAGGCTGCCTGGGACACGCTCTTCCACATGGACACCCACCACTATGCCGTGGGTCTGCTGGCCAGGTGAGACCTCCTTGTCCCCGCTGCCCCAGTCCCTTCTGCCCTGGGAAGGGGGCAGCCCGCACAGTGCCCGTGGGCGTGGTGCAGAGGACCTTGTTGTGGAGGGGTGGCCGAAAAAACTGCAAAAAGCAGGGAGAGGAGGGTGCAGAGGAGGAGCCGCCTCCCCAAGCGCTCCCATCCCCTCCCAGTCTGCTGGGGAAAGACCAGGCCGCTGGGAGTCTGTCAAAGGAGAGCTTTGCCCAGCCAGCTCAGGCTCTCTGGTGCCTCTTTCCCCGGACAGGGAGATGCGCCGTGTCTCCAGCCCCTTGTGTCGCCACATGGGCTGCTACCTCCTCCAGCTGCTCAGCCAAGCAGCAGTGTTGGCACTGCGCTGGGAGCTCCCCGCCATGGCCTTCTTTGTGGAGGTGAGCCTGATGGCCGGTGCTGCCTCGCCCGGCTGCCTCCAGCTCTCTGCCCTCTCACGGCCACAGCTGCCCGGGACGGTTCCTGTGCGCTGGGCTGCTGTCTGGGGCCAGCCCTGTGCACGTCTGGGCTCTTGCCGGCCGGGCGCCCTGTCACTGCTGCGTGCCTTTCAGGTCCTGGACTGCTTGGACATGAGGGAATGTGGCGACAGAGTCCTGCAGATCCTTGCCAGGCCCCTGCAGAGCAAGTGCCCAGAGAGGAATCGCCTGGCGCTCAGGATGCTCCTGGTGCTCAGAAAGGATCCATCAATGGTGAGAAGGGGATAGGCGGCTGAAGCCCTGCCGGCAACCTGGGGCTGGGCAAGGCAGTCACTTGGGCTTGGCTGGGCAAGGCAGCTGTGGCTTCTGCTCCCAGCTCTCCTGCCTCACCCTTCAGCCGCCCGAGTCCTTCAGGACAGGCTTTTGGCCTCTGGGCCCCGCGGCAGCAGCGTGGGGCTGCAGCGCCGCAGCGGGCTTGGCGCTGCTGCCCTCGATGGCTTCAACAGCGCACACTGTGTTCCACACAGGCTGACAGCACGCTGAGCCTCACACCAAGCCTGGTGCAGCTCCTGGGGGATGCAGATGGAGAGCTGGTGGCAATGATCCTGGCTGTGCTCTGGGATCACTTGCGGGAGCCAGACATCCAGCTCTCCAGACCCACTGCCCTGAAGCTGGCTGAGGCGCTCCAGCCACTCCTCGGCAACGTAAGGCCCCTCGCCCCTCAAGGAACAGGCCCTGGGTGCTGCCTGGAAAGCATTTCAGGGTCTGGTCTCAGGCAGGCCTGCAGCAGCCAGTGCTGAGGACTTTTCCTCCCCTTTCTCTCAGGACATCAGCCAAGTGCAGCTGCTCTCCATTCACGTCTTCCACAAGGTGATGGAGTTGGCAGCCAACAGCGCAAGAAAGACCCTGAAGCGCTACGTGGTGCAGAGCCTGCTCCCCCTCTTCTTGCACTGCCACAATGACAACCGGCACGTGGCAAAGGTCAGGACTCCTGGGTTCTGCTGTCCCCACGGGAGGGACTGGGCTGCCTCCTGCCCTGGCATCTCAGGGGCTCCGGCCTCCTCCTGGCCTTGGTCCAGGGACGCAGGTCCTGTGCCCTGGGCTGTGGTCTCATCTCCCGCTCTCCACTTCTCTGCAGGTCTCTCGCCAAGCACTGCTTTGTGCGGCCAGGTTCCTGAAGTGGAGCGATCTGGAGAACCTGGTGATGACAGAGACCCTGTGCACATTTGGCAAGTGCTTGGTAAGGACGATGTGAAAGCCCCAGCCCCAGGCTGGACAAGTGCCCAGCCCCGATGCCCAGGGAGTGGGGTTGGCCCTGTGCCCCTGCCCACTGCTGCCCTGCCCTGTGGGACACCAGCCTGCGCCCCACACGCTGCTGCCTTCCCTTGGCCGTGCGGGCCTCACTGCCCTCCAGGATCCTCTGCCCCTGAGCCCGGGGGGCCACTGCAGCCCCTGCCCAGCTGTACTGTGGGGCAGGGTGGCCCTCTGTGCCCTCCAAACCCGGCCCCAGCAGCTGCTGCCCAGGTCTGAGGGCTGTGCGGGCAGGGCAGGGCAGTGCTGGGTGCAGGCAGTGCCCGGCCAAGGGGCAGAGCCTGAGCCAAGCCTTCTGTGCTTGCCCTGCCGTTCCTGCAGCTGCAGAAGGACAAGAGGAGAGCGGCCAAGTACCTGCGCCAGGCTCTGCCGTACCTGCAGAGCCCACAGGAGCCCGTGCGAGAGGCGGCCCTCGGCTTCATGGGTGAGCCCCAAGCCCGCGGTCCCTCCCGCCCCGCTGTCCCTCCAGCCCCGCTGCAGCAGCAGCAGCAGCAGGATGCAGCCCAGGGCTGTGCTGGGGAGCCCCGAGTGCCCTGGCGGTGCTGCCGCCCTGTCCCAGCCCAGCCCTGGGGCGGCACCATGCGGGAAGGGCCCGGGCTCAGCCCTGCTGGCAGTGTCGCTGGGGGCAGCTGTGCCCTGACAGGCTCTGTGTGTGTGCCCAGGCATTGCCGGCAGGTACCTGAGGGGACAGCACAAAGAGCTGCTGCTCGTCATCCAGGGTGAGTGAGCGAGTGAGGGCAGCGGGCTGTCAGCAGGGGCTGGCGGGGAGGAGCAGGGATCCTGGGCAGGGAGCTGCAATCCTTGCCCTGGCTGTGCAGGGCTGTGCTCCCAGCACGGACGGGGAGCTTTTGGGCAGAGCAGAGAGACCTTTCAGGCTGGAGTGGCTTTCTGTGGCTGGGGGGTACTGGTGGCCAGCACCTTCCAGCTCCTCCTGTTGGGCCCTGCTCCCTGCCAGCCATGGCAAGAGCTGCCATGTGGGATGGCCCTGGCAGGAGGGGCTCCTCGGGTCCCTGCAGATGCTGCCTCTGATCTTGCTTTCGGGCCTTTCTCTTCCAGCCCTGGAAGAGCATGACAGATGAGAGCCCTGCCATCTCCAGCCTGGCACTTCAAACCTCAGAGATCTTCAGAGGCCTACAGAGAGCTCCATCCTCCAGATTCTGGCAGGTCTGAGACTGGCTCTGCAGGCTGTGCAAGTGCCAGCCTTGCCTGCGGGGCAGTCTCTGGCTGTGCTGCTGGAGCTCTGTGGAGAAGTGACCCAGGAAGCTTCATCTGCTGGGACCACCTGAGCGTGCAGGGAAGATCCCTTCTCTGCAAGCGCTTCCTTGGACACCACATGACAATATTAAATTCTGTCTTCACACACAGAGGCCCAGGAGGTTTTTTGTTGCACGGTGTCCCCAGGGCATTGGGCAAGAGGGAAAGGGGTCCTTGCGCACAGCAACACTTGCCCAGGTGTGCAGTGTGCGAGCCAAACGGGCCTAAAGCCTCTTGGCCTTTGGTGCTTGTCGAGGGTTTGCTCTGGGCCAACTTTCTCTCACCCCCGCCTATGTATGCAGACAAAAGAGATCTGACTGGGGAGAATAATATTAGGATTTCTTACTAGGAAGAGAAAAACTAAGGAACTCTAGAGACAACAATTCTAACGAGGCAAAAGTGCTATGTATTTACAGAAATAGTGCTCTCCCCTTGTACCAGTTCAGGAGGAGAAGCAGTCTCTTTTCCATTTGCAGAGCTCCAGCTCTCTGAAAAAATTTTGCAGCCCCTGAAAGTTCCTCTTCCATTACCTCTAGGACGACAGCTCTGATTTGTTGCAGCTGGAACTGTGTTCTCTCTCTCTCTCTCTCTCTCTCTTTTCTGTGTTGACCTCAGGGCTGGGCTTACCCCCTCCTGGGCTAAGATGGGAGGCTGGGGGTTCCCCAGGCCCTGTGGGGTCTTCTATGGATTGCAAGGGGACACTTGCCTACCATGGTCTTCCCACAGTTGCAGGGCATAATGGCTTTTGAGTCTCCCCTGTTTCTTGTGGGGTCCCACCTGACGAGAGACAGTCCTTGATGGACCTCTCTAGCGTGAGTCTACCTTGAGGCAACGGTTCTTCCATTCTTTGCTGTCCCTTAGGCTCACCAATTCAGCTGCACCAGCATGGATCCCTGTCATGGTTTTTTGCTTTTCTCAGGAAAACTGTGACTCCCACTTCTGGGCTCTCCTAGTGTTTCTGCCGCTGCCACAAAGGGATGGGGGAAAGGAAGGGCATCCAGTGGGGAGGACACCCAGAACAGGTTGTCATTGCAGAGTTCTCCCCATCCTCTTTGTTCCCCCAAGGCATGGCATAGCAGCCGATAGTCGCAATCAGACACAGAGCAACTGCAGCTTTCACCATGAGACTGGGCTGTTTTCTTCTGTTTCAGAAGGCAAGGAAAAAAGTCCAAAGAACACAAGGAAACTTGACAGTATCTCTGACCAATTTAATTGTCCTCTGAAGCTCAGCAGCTGAGGGTGGTTTTGTGCTGCAGGTTATCATTTCCATGACAAAATCATTCCAGGAAGGAGCAACAGCTTCTGCCTTCTGATAGATGCTGCCATGAAGAGGGACATCTTCACCTAAAAGAGGTTGTTCAGAGCCCCAACCAACCTGACATTGAATTTCTCCAGGGATGGGGCATCTACCACCTCTCTAGGCAACCTCTTCAGAGTTTCACCACCCTCAGCTGTAAAAAATATCTTCGTATCTAATCTGTCATGCCCCAGGTGATCTTCGTGGTGCATCACAGAGGTGGGGAGGGGAGGTCCTGCACAATTGGTGCTGCTGTCTTGCATTGCACCCTCAGCATCCCATCTGAGCATTGGCATGACTGGGATGAGCAGGGTTTGCTCCATGGGACTCCACCAGAAGACCCCTGCAATTCTCATGAGAGTCCAAATATCCTTGTTAATTGAGTCAACTGCTCTTAAAAGCAAAGATAATGTTTTAGAGGTGATCTTGAACAGGGGACACTATTCCAGTGAGATATAGACCGAGGAGGCAGAGTTTGGGGTAGAAAATTGCTTTTAAGTTCAGCCATTTAAGATATCAGCATTAGTTTTGCTTCTAAAACTCCCCAAATGTGAGCAAGAATCACCTCACCCACCCACACTCACTAAATATTTAGTCATTTTTAACAAGTTAAACAAAGCCCTTTGATTGGATTTATGCTAATGGCTCCTCCGTAGGCATTTCTGATTCATTTACATTTCATTTTAAAATTGCCTGTGTACATTGCTGATTCTCACCAACACCATTAGCAGATAAAAGGAACAAGTAACGGGTCACAGGCGCCACAAGATGGCAATAGTTGAAGAGCAATTTGTTTCTGGAGGAAGAGATCGGGTGTTCGGCAGCGAACCCTCCCTGGAAGGGCAGCGCTGCCTGTGCATTAACCTTCGCTCTCGCAGGAGGGCTTGGGGGACGAAAGCAAAGTGGTTTGTTTGGTGGGTGGGTGGGTTCATCTTCCCCCCACCCCTCCCTGGAGAAGCGATGGAGGAGGAGAGAGAAGATGTGAGAGCTGTTCAAGGTCGGCCCAGCAGTGTTCTGGTTTCAAGGACCAAAACTTGCAGCATGAAGCACAGAGGGCTTGCACGCCCACACAGGGAGCCTCTTGAGTCCTGGCTCTGGGTGCCAAGGTTGGGTTTTCCTGGGTCAGAGCCTCTTGGGTGGGTGTTGCTGTGCCAGCATCCTGTGTGCATCTACAGCACCTGATCTGTGGAGTCAGGAGAAGAGGTCTCTGCCCCACATCAACTCTAGACCCAACACAGAGGGGGTTTCAATGGATAGGAGTGTCTGACTCTGTGACAGAGATAAGATCTGGGTGAGCCAGGGTGCCACCTGATTACTCTTCACACAGTGTTGGATCCTGTATGACCTACAAGCCTCATGTTCAGGGCTTCTGGATGGCCTTTGATACATTCCCCTACACTTTGGCCTCTGAATTGGAGAGATATGGAGGAGCTGTTAGGTGAATAAAGAATTGTCTGGATGGCCTTATCCAAACAGTTTGGTCAAACATTTCATGTCCACATGGAAACCAGTAAGGAGTGGTGTCCCCCGAGGACTCATACTGGGACCAGTACTATTTAATATCATCAGTAACGATGCAAAAGGGGTTTCTGGGGCACCCTCAGCAGGTTTGCAGGTGACACCAGGCTGAGTGGTGTGGATGATGTGCTGCAGGGAAGGGATGCCATCCTCTGAGGTGGCAAGCATGAGGAGTGGGTCCAGGTGAACATCATGAGGTTCAACAAAGCCAAGTACAAGGTGCTGCACCTGGGTCAGGGCAATCCCCAGGGATGCCACTCCTGTGGGATAGGTGCTGGGGGCCTGCGTGTGGGTGACCCACGGCCAAGGCAGGAGGTCTTCCCCAAGAAGACCTTAAATGAGAGATGGGGAATGATCCATCACGCTCAGTGGAGGGCAGTGAAGGAGCTCATGTCCGTAATGAATGTTAAATGCAAAATCTGTGTTAATGCACTGGGGTTTGGCACTCTATGCTGTCCAGGTGATGAAGCCAGGAAGGTGATGCCCTGTTGAGCAGAGGAGCCAGGAGATGGAGGAGGTCTGGTGGCAGCACCCAAAGCTCCATCTCTGTGGGATGCAGCACATCCTCTGCCATGTTCTGACTCCCCTTCCTGGGGACTGGCAGCAGCACCTGGGTGTTCAGGGTGGCCATGGGCTGCTCAGGAACCTCTGCCTGTGTTTTAGTCCTGGGGAGGGAGCGAGGGCAGCAGGATCCCCAGTCAGGGTGTCTTTGTGGTGTCAGATCCTGTGTGGTATCCTGGACCAGAGGGACAGAAAGGACAAATACATTGTGAGTCACCAGGTGTCACTGATGCTGTCCTGTTCTCTGACCACACTGTGGTGGTTGGGCCAATTTTATGCAGGCAAAGGTTGTTTCTGACACTGAGGCAAACCCCATTCCCTGCAGGGTGTCCAGCCCAGTCTGTCTGCCCTTGGCTCTCCCCACAGCATCATCCCCGTACAGGCAGGGTAGATGAATATGTAGGAAGTGGATAACCTACTGCTGCTGCCAGCATCAGGCCAGGGAGGTGGGCTTTGGGGACTGAGCCATCACTAGGAAAAATCAAGAAAAACAAAGGGTGGATGGCGTCACCAGCCAAAAAGTGGGTTGGATGCTGTGGGCAGTACCTGCCACAGCTGTGTCAGGAGTCAGGGATGTGGCAACAGGGAGAGCTGGGCTCTGAGTGCACGTGCAGGAGCTCAGGGAAAGGGAAATCAGGAGGGAGCAGAGGTCCAGCTAAGAGCAGAGCAGTTTACACACATCCCCCGTGCCGTGATGAATGGAGACATGAGATACAGTCGGTGAATCATGAAATCTCTCGGGATTAAATGATTACATTAATCTTTGCTTTCTCTAAGCCGCAGTAATGGCAATAGCCACATGCTGGTTCCAGTCCAGAGCCATCCGCGCTGACTTCACGGTGACTCGCCGGGCAGCTGGCGCGGCTCACACTGTCCTGACGTGCGAATGCCCCCTCGTCCCTCTCCAGCCCACACTCACTTTCACCTGGTGACTCTGGGCCAGTGCAGGGCTGCATGGATTGGCCTTTTCCATCCACCCTGACCTGCCCAGGCATCACCTGAAAATGACACTTCTCCTGAGTTAGCCGGTGATGGACATGACCAGGGGACATCCCTGGCCATGGTGATGGCTGTCACCCCAAGCTGGCCCCATGGCC